AAAAATTCTTTTCCATAATTAAGGGAAAAACCTGGTATAAAGGATCAAATTTTCGATTTTTCTTTTCTTTAATCAATAGTATTCTCAGAAAATATATTCATAAAGTTTTAGAGTTCGAAATTCGAAATACTTCTGTAATTATAGCCTTGAAAACAGGTACGCGTCGTGCATGTATTCGATGCGCGCGATAGGAGCTCATTTATACCATTGCGCTCCACCACCTTTTGATCTCTAGTATTCCTAGTGAGATATTCACGTTAGCAGATATTTATTTTAAGATCTTTTAACTAGGGGAATTTAGGCGAATATACGCGCAAAATTCAAATTCAAAAATTTAATTCCACCATCTGGCGTCTTTGTGGTCGCATGTACCTTCAATAAGGGTTATTCTTTTCATTGTAAAGATAATGCAGTTATTGGAAATGGATACTAGCCAACATTGTAAAGTATTCACCGACAACTACGACAAACAATGAGTTACGAAGCAGAAGCGACACCGACTAACAGCACAAAAAAGGCTCGTAAATTACAACTAACGCAACAAAACGAATTTTATGAGGAAGCGGAAGGTTTACTGTATAGGTCTAAAAAGAACAAATCAAGTTGCCAAAAAACACACTTCGCGAAACTGAAAACTTTAAACGCGTTTTTTTCAAAACCACTTTTTCGAAATTGGTGTGCAAGATTACTCAAAAACTATTCGATCAATCAACTTCTTGTATGTCTTCAGGTTCTTCCTAAAAGTATAGACGCAGTCTAAACTGGTCGAAAACGAAAAAAAATTTTTTAATTTTTCTGTTTTATCAGCTCCTAGTCCACAATAACGTTTAAAGCTATCAATTTGTGTCAATATTTGCTTCATATGAAAATTCTATATAGTATTTATATGTATAAAATAGGAACGGTTTGAACTATGGATTACATGAATAAAGAATGTCAAGTTCTTAGATTTAGATTTAGATATTTAATATCAAAGATTAGTGTCTTAAACAATTTATGCATATGTGTACGTGCAATATTGGTATAAATAGTATGTAGTGATGTGTCGATGATACATACATCATAATCGTGTTTAAGTCTAGTGAATCGATAAAAATAATCTCATCGCAATTTGGTCCTCAGTTTAAAATCCTTTAATACTACATATGTAGAAAGTAAATGCCTTTATATTTACATATAACATAATTAGATCATATTTAAATTAGAAAATAATATAAATTTAATAAAATATAATATAGTAAGAAGATTAATCTTAAAACGTGGTTATAATCTGCATACCATATTATATTTTCTCAATTTTATATTTTTTGTTTTGTTTAGTATGATCTGATTATATTATGTAAGTACAAAAACATATACATACTTTCTACATAATACAGTATTAAAATAATGCAAAATGCCTTTTCTATGTATTACATAGGAAAACAGCTATTTTTCAAATAGATATATCTAAAAAATAAAAAATGATATTGAAACAAAATACATCTTAAAACTAAAAGTTATTACTTTCGTATGACAGTAATAAGATTTAAGAGAAAACTTTTTGTTTGCAAAATCATGCACGCACACACGTACACACGCAATCTATTATAAAAACTCTAAAAATTGTTTTTTTATCTCTTTGATATCTTTTTTTCAAGACTATAATAGAAAATCTTGTCCAATGAATTCGTGTTCAACAGACAGAAGTATATCAGAAATAATTATTCGTACTTAAAAAATTATATTGGACAGTATAATATGGCTAAAAACTTTAAATTTCAGAATGTATTTTAAGTCTCTAGAAATAGATGAAATAATATTCTTACTAGTTCAAGGACGAGTTCGCGTTATAGATGTGTTAGTGGCAGGAACTGGATTATTGGAGGAAACTGCGAGAGCATTACGATCGAGAGTATTGCGTCGTTCTAATTCGCCCAGTTTTTTCCACATCTCGTCCCTTTCTTTTTCCTTCCTTTTTTCTCTATAATTTAGACATATATATGTAAAGAAATAATGTAATTAAATCGTTGTTCTTCATATAGCTTTCAATAAATTGTATCGAACTTTTAATACAACATTAAATTATTAAGATTTAATTAAAATCTAAAATAGATTGAAGAAAAAATTGTGTGGCAAAATATAAAAAATTTTAAAAGTTTGATCTTACTTTTGCCTGTCCAACTTATAGTTGGCAGTAAGTTCATCGAAGAGCTTGCTGTTCATTTCCATAAACGTTTTTAGAACATTGTAAACAAGGGCGATAATCGTCTGGTTCCAATGTTCCTTACTAATTTTGTACAATGCTGGAAACATAATCTTCATTATTACTTGGTTGTTTTCTTCAATTAGAGACATTATATACTCGTTATTCCAAAAGTACAATGCTCTCTCTGCAACCTGTAACGAAAAATAGATGATTCAATATTTTACAATTTTACAATGAATCCATCAATCAAAATTAGTGCAAAGTATTACATAAATTACCTGGAAATGTGGTGAAGACACGCAACGTGCGACTTGCCTAAATAAAGGTTCTTGTATTTTAACAAATTGATTAGGTTCTATAACGTCCAATATTTCTTCAATTTCACCAAGGAACATCACCTCCTTCTGGCTGCACGTTTTAGGCCAGAACTTAAGGAGGCCTCGTACAACTGGTTCTGTTAAAGTCGCGTCTTTTTCCAAAAATTGTACCACACAATAAGCTAATTGCGCGTGATAGAGCGATAAACATTTCACTTTATGTAGTGGCAACAATACCTAAAAAAATTCCCACAAAAAACTTTTTTAAATAATATTAAATATTAAATCTCTACTTTTTAAATCATTTTTAAATCTACTTTTTAAATCATTTTTCTGGTCTTAAGTTTTAAATTCCGTCTCTTCTCTTCAGGACCGCCGCAAGTAGATGTGCAAGTGTGCATTGCACAAAGGCGCATTAATAAAAGCAGACGCCGAATTAAGTTTGAATCCTCCGTTTACAATCGTACTTTTTCTTTTTCTGACTGCAATTTAAATATTTGTTTAGCCAATTTTTTTTTACTGTTTCACTATCAAAAAATGTGGAAAATTTAAGAGTTATTTTCAACATCTTTTCCCCAACAAAATCGCCACTACCAAAATATTTCAAGAAAAAAAGTCAAATATTGCTCTCCTTTATTTCAAAGAAATTTGAGAGTATATATAAAATTTTACTTGTATCAAAAGACTCAAATTGTAAAAGAAGGGTTAAAAATCAATTCTTCTAACTGACTCTGCATGTTCATCAGGATACTGATTATTTTTCTAGAGCGGAGAAATATAAAGAGTAAAAAAATTCTCTATTAATTTCAATGGTAGAAATTTTTACTTTTCATATTTCCGTTCTAGGAAAAAATAACATGATCAAATTACGGCTACCTTATCTAAAAATAATTAAAAAAAATTATTTAAAATCATATTTTATTTAAAAAGTTGGTAAATAAATACGAGAGGTGGCAAAATCTCCTATGCATAAAGGTACTTTATGTGTCAGTAGCGGCGGCCCTTCTCCTATAAATTACACAGACCTACGAAAATGAGACTTTGGAAAATCCAGTGAGATATAGAACGCTTTCCGATGTAATTTTTTGCATTGAATTCGAATCTGGCCACAGAATTTGTAGAACGTCAAGATTTTGAAATATTTTAACCTAAATATGCAAAATAGATATTTTTTAACATTTTCAGGCAATTTTAAAACGTGAAACGTGAAATATCCACGTTTATTAATATTTAACTAATAGATTCAATATTTCTAAGAAATTGAAATAGATAGAAACGGATTCGTATAGTCATTGTCGAATTCAAAATTTTGATTTTTCGGATACTGAACGTTTAGGTAAGAATATTTAAAAATCTTGATGCTAGACAAATTGTAACTAGATTCGAATTCAACACAAAAAATTGTATCACAAACCACTCTTATATCTCAGTAAATCAAATCTCGCAGGCCTGTGTTATTGGTAAGTATATTAATAACATATGTACAAAAGATTAGGCAAGAATTAAATTGGTCATTTTTGAAACTCCATAAATCAATTTTTAGATAGGGGAACCCATTTGACCACGTTCCCTTTCTAATTTTTATCCAAACTGGAATAATAGTAACCTCCAACAAATTTTAGTCGCCGCTTGTTATTCGTTAAAAGGTTATTAACAAAAAGAATTCAACCTTATAGTAACAAGATCAATCAAAACTCCTTATAATTCAAAAATAAATTGGAGAGAATAAATAAAAATCACCACTACTAAGTAACAAAAACGTTTTTATCACTTAGTAGTGTTTTTAATTGCGCGACGTCTTCTGCGCCCGACTCCTATTGCCTCTTATTCTCTCCAATTTGTTTTCGAAAAAAGTTAATAACTATTTCACGTGAAATGTGTTTGCGTAAAAAGTCGGATAATTCTAGACAGCAAAAAAGTACAGGGTAAACCGACTGAAAGAGTACGACCTTCCACGCGAAATGACTTCCGTCTCACCTCCCCCTATTACGGAGCGCACCGCACCGATGACATTAACGTTAACATACATTGTCAAGATCATAATTCTGAATAACTTTGCCTTAATAACTAGGTGCTGGTATCTTATGGTTTCTGAGCTATTTAAACTTAAAAGTCTAACGATATTAAATCTAAAACAAAATAAATAAAAAGGGGTAAAGAGCCGACAATACCAAAACCAAAAAACTTTAAATCAAATAATATGTAGCTACAATGTTCAACACAGACGTTTCGACTCCGATCGGGTCATTCTCAATGTTACAAATATTTAATACAGATAAATTCGTTATACAAAATTCATTATCCTACAAAAATTACTCCGTTCATGTTCTTCATGCTTTGAGTCAATGAGATAAAAATTCAAAAATCAGATTGTATAAAATTTGGTATTCTTGTCATTTATATCTGTAGATAATTCGTTAAGAGATAAAAAATACACATATAAAACTGGTAACCAACAAAAATTAAGTTCACAAGATCCATTATTACATTACAGAATTTGCAGACATGTAACACCTGATCCCAACAATGTCAGATAAGGTAATATTAAATCTTATAGGAGGATTTGTAAGAATGTAACCAATGAAAAATGTACCAATGAAAACCGAAAATTTAATAATAAGAAAATTTAAAGTCTGATTTGTACATAAATATTTCAACGTTGAAACCAACGTGCAACAATACAATTATAGAAGTCGTGCCCTTAAGCAGGGGGGGGGGGGAAGTGAAGTCGCTTCGCGTTGAAAGTCGAAACCTGTATAGAATAGTATTTAATATTGTATGTATAGCAGAAATAATACGTTATTTTTGAAACTCTTTATGTTAATAACTTTTTAACGAAGGAGGACTACGGGCTAAAATCTTTTGAAGATCACTCGGGATCATGATCCTGACCACATATGTCAAGGTCATCGGAGAGTGCTTCCCTACACTGCATATTTATCAAAAGTCCTATAAGAAACATCTAATTCGATTAGAAGTAATTTTTTACTTTAAACTAGTATTATTAATGTTGCTGCAACATTAAAACAACATTGAACAAATTATCTTAATTAAAATACATATCTCGAATACTGAAAAGAAATAAATATAATATACATATACATATCTTTATTAAACAAAAAATTGTTAAGTATGCAAAATTCTGAGAAACATATATATTATTAATTTAATATACATGTATATAGTTATATACAGTTCATTTTAGAAAGTAGAATAATTAATTTTATATAACAAAAACAATCAATATTATTTTATAAAGTTGAATTTCCTCCGATATATTGGAAACTATTGTTATTTTACACGTTTATTTTATTCAATTTTCTTTAAATATAAAATATACATAATATATGTATATAAAATCTAAATTGCTTATATAATATGTTAAATAAATATTGAATACATATCAACCCAGTAAAAAATTGTTCTTAAATAATCATATATAACTCTCTCTCTCTATATATTAAAATTATATAAAAATACTATAGTTTAAAAAAAAACCTCTTTTTTCAAATTACTGAAAAAATCGAAGAAATTGATTTTTTTTGGAAGAACTGCTATTTTGCTATCTAAATGACATACTATTTTATTTTTAGTGTTCTTCATCAAATTAATGTGATTCATAAAATTATGTAATCATATTTTTATTAAAATTTTTAGTTTTTCTTCTATTTTTATAATAAAATCTAATCTGACCTTCTTTTAATGTATAGCAAAAAGGATACAGTGAGGTAATTTGGATAATTAACAGAAATTGTATATAAAGTTTGGAGTCGTGCACAGTGTATTCAATCAAACATACAGAACATACACTATTGGTGCAATATAAAACTATGGCTGCCTGCGTTTAGCAGATAAAGTAGCTTTGCAACTGTCTCGTAAGAGATTCTTTAATTATTAATATGATTGGTCTTGTTCTTAGTTCTTTCCCTTATTAGATCTAAATGTATAATCCAATCATGTTTAAGAATTTTACAACAATTGCAAAGCTGCTTTTCCTGCTGAACGCAATTTATGTTTTGTGCATTTTATATGTTTAACAGAATACATTATGCGATCCCAACTTTTGATACTATTTCAAAATAATTTCTGTTAACTTATCCAAATTACCCCACTGTCGGCTGTACCGTATGGCATAGATATTTTACGAACACACGTAAATTTTTCTACCTTTGGGAAAAAATCGAAAAAATCTGCGAAAAATTGGGAAAAATTAGGTTTTTTCCGATCCTTTAAAACTATAAAAAACACATAAAATTACGTATCACATAATATATCTATTAACCAAATATATGTTACAACTATATACATCCATTACACAATATTTGTATAATGGATGTATATAGCTGTAACTTTTTTGGTGCATCTACATTTAGTGAATGTACGATTGCAAGTCAAGCAGCATTGAATGAGTAACCACGAAATTAATTCCCGATATCAGGAGGAAATTTTTTTTGTCACAATTTTACGTGTTTTCTAAATTATGACGCGCGCTAATCAATAATATTTATTTTAACAATAAAACTAGATTAATTTACAAAAATCTTTTACCGATAAATCAATAAAATCTATATTTTATATATATATATATATACACATTAAATCAATGTTGAATCAATGTTGAATTGCAACGTCTATAAAATGCAAATTCAACGGATACCGAATATTTCTATAATGTATTTTCAAGGTTAAATCTATATTGCAATGTTAATGAAATATTTAATGTATCTGAGAGGTTGATTCAACATTAGTGGGTAAAATGTAATACACACTGTGCACAATATTTTAAAATCTAAATTGAATTTTTTATGTATCTTTTAATCATACGAATGTAATCGTACCTTAACCAAAAATTGCTTGTGCTCAACTTTTAAAGGAAGAGCGAATCCATTAATAATGCTACCCAGAATTTCAAGAAGTTCACCGACCCCGTTGAAATGTTCTGTTTCGTACACAAACCTGAAATAATAATAAAGAAAGACATTATACAAATATCAAAATAGAAATCTTAGATATATTCCATTTAACAAGCGTTTGCAACGCTCAGTAGCATTATTTTATTCTTGTTATTTATCAAATGATAAACAAAAATAAAATATATGTGAACATTGCGAACGTTAAATAGAATGCATTCCTTGAAAAAATCTAAAATGAATTATTGGTGTTATTGATAAAAATTATTTTCACTATTGAACTATTATGTATAATTAAACAATACATCATGTAATTAAATTCCTCTATTAGAATTTAATATAAAATATTATCATGTTGTAATCAGAAATTTTCTTTTCAAACTGAATTTACAACAGAAATATCGTTTGCACACTACACACATTTTAAAATGAGTACAATTACTTGTTCTATAATAAAGGATTGTCATAATGTATCATCAAAAATAATGAGTAGATTTATTATGTTTAGCGCAAAAATGTGTAATTTCGACAAAAAAATTACTAATAAATATTATAATAGTAAATCTATGACAATGCATGTAGAAATTAAGTAAATAAGTGATGTTACATTTATTTAAAAAAACTTTTTTTAAAGATTCTTTTTGTTATTTAAAGCATGTTTTAATATTATCTTATTGTTTCAGTTTATTTACATTTTATATAAATTGTTGATAAGCCAACAATGACAGTTTAATAAAATATAGTTTATATTGTATTATATACACGTATATAATGCAAGATATACTTCAATTATTAAATACATTTTCATGTCATAACTGAATATGTTTCTCTTTTTCAGATTTAAACACAGACATCTGCATAATGCACAAGGTATAAGAAAATCAATCAATCAGAGTCTTTCATGAAAAGGAAGGAAATGAAGGAAACCCAGATAACATGCATGTTTTGCATAGGATATCAAAGTCCATAAAGATTTTGATTGGTATAGTTTCTTACACATTATGCGATATGCAAAAATCCGTGCTCTCAGTTTAATTCTTTGACTTCATGTATTATCTAAATAAAATCATACATGTGTACATGCGCTTTATACATTACGTTTTTCCAACTCCCTTTGTTTTTAATATACAATATGTATATACATACATCTAATAAACATAGTTTACATTATAACACTCACAAAAGTACATTTAGCTAGATTTGTTTGCCGCGTTTTTACTTATGTAAGAACAAATATGGTTGCGCCATTGGTTCCGCCATGTACTTGCGACGTCGCCATCAACCAATCCCGTCGCGGCTTCAGTTTGAGTATCTCTTACTTGATGATCTCTAGTGTGGATATAGGAGACACAGTCGACAAAAATGCCGTTTTATCTTTGCTATTTACTGAATATCAAGAATAGAACGATGTTTGTGTCGATTATATCTCCTAAAAGAAAAACACAGCCTTACAAACACTTTATAGATCATACTCAAACAGATTCTATAGTCATCAGTTTTCTCCATTAAACATATTCTCTCTACATTCTAGCCACGTTTATTGGTTAAAATCGGAGCACAGAGCTCTTCATAACGCATAATGCATAAGAAAATTAGAGTCTTTTATTTCACGAAAAAGAAATAAATGAAGATTGATTGATTTTCTTATTCTTTACACACATTACCCCGCAAACACAATAGGTGTAGTAAGCCTTAAGCCTTAAGGAAAAATGACCAATTATTCTTCACATTCGACTGTGAGTGATCAATTCCATAAGATTTAAGGCTTATTACATCTATTGTGTTTGCGGGCTTATGTGTTATGCAAAAGTATGTGCTCCGGTCTTTATTATATTAATATTTCTTATAAAGTGCTTATAAAAATAAAGTACCTATATAAAATCAATTAATAAAATAGTTATTTTACCCGTCTGTCTTCATTTTCAGATAATGTAATTTATTGTACATACATCAGTAACAATTCATATCAATTAAAAAACAAATTATTGCCGAAATAAGATTTATGTTATATTGCAAGAATCCTAAAGTGCCTTGTATAACCTATAAGTAGTCTAGCCATAATAATAAAGTCAAATATTAATGTAAATTTATTAATATAAAAGTTTGTATTAATATGATTTCATAGATTAAGTAATACTAAAATCATAATGAAATTTAATCATTTATTTAAAATTGCAACGAAAATAGGGCGAAATGTTCGCTGTAGAGCTGACTCTCACTGATGAAAAAATAAGTTTCAATTTTACGTAATAAAGAAAAATTGCAACAAAAAATTGAAAAAGTTAAGTCATTTTAGGAAATTAGTGGAAAATGCATTAGAACCAAGAAACTTCAGACTATAAACAAAAAACACCTTGAATTAATCGCCAAATTATACGTGTTTCTAAAATAGATCTATTCAAGTTAAATAAATTTTAAAATGTACTAAATCTTCTTGTGTACGTAAAAGATGTATGTACGGTGGCAGTTTAGGCCAAAATTTGTCCATGATGGAAACGTATAAAATCGATCAATCTTTATAGATTTGGATAACACAAAATTTTGTTACTTTTCACGCAAATTTTGTTACTATTAGTTCAGCTCTTTATTGTGACGAGACGCTGTAACACACACAAGCACAAGCCCATGTCAATGTACTCGTCTTCGGCCCGAAAATGAGCAGACGGACATAGGCTCGTGTATGATACCAGTTTCGCCAGGCTGCCGACTAATCCGATGCCGCCACTATCAACGCGGAATTCTTGGTTGAGTAATCAAAAGCCTTAATACAAAAATTAATCAATGTCTGTTTGAAGAATTGCATATTAATATTTCATTATATAAGACAAATTACAAGTGCTGCTAAATAACTTAAATAAACTGGGGACAGATAAAATTTCTGAGAAAGGGGTAGAAGTATTTTATTTTTAAATTTTCTTTAGTTGTGCCGAATTGTGCTAGAGAGTGTCCTAACAATTTTTTCAGATAACAAAATTTCCTCCGATCAATGGATTTCGTATATAGACAAAGTTATGAGTCACACGTTAGACATTGGGTGCGGTCCACTTAGCGCTACAAATGCTTCGAAGCTTTTGACTGACCAATCAGAAGAAAGAATTATACTAATTGCCCAATCAAAAAATGCTTCGAAGAATTCGTAGCATCAAATGGATCGTAGCCATTTTTAGGAATAAAAATATTGAAACTTCAGTAAATTGCAGTGACAGACAATTAAATTCTGCTGACAACGAATTATACTATTCAAAATCTATAAATACATATATGTATAAATGGTAGAAATTACTCTACCATTTACGTGCTATCGACTACCAACGATAGCGCGATATGGCATAAGCATCTAATACATATAAATTATAGCAATTTTGTGCAAAATGTGTATATGTGGTGAAAGATGTTAATGATGGTATAGAATTCACTGAAGACACTGAAGAGGTAAAATGGTACACAATTTTTATATGAGGCAATTAAGATTTCCATTTAAAGCATTTAGAAAAGCATGCATTGGACCTGATCCATTCGGACTTATGTGGACTAATAAGTCTCGATTGGAGAAGCTCCAGGTATTTTTTTTATATTTATTGATAATTTTTCATAAAAACGATTCTTATTTATTTTTTAAGATTCAAACCAAAAATACTGAAAGCGAGTCAAAGAATTTAAAAAACTAGTCGAGATACAAACCGAATGGAAGATAAAAACGAGAAGGATCGACAAAGAGAACGAATACTGTTGCAAAAATTTTTAGGTGTTTTTGCAGCAATGACTTTCAACATTAAACGCCAAACATGTATATTCCTCAGCAAAACGGCGCAAAACACATGAACCGAAAGAACGAGCCAAATGCATGCTGTTCGATATTAAACTTCCTAAGAGCTTTGAGATTAAAACTATTAACATGTAAACATATATTTTGAACAAATGCACTAGTTCGACGTTGAATGGCAAAACGTCAGAAAAAGAATGGACCAGGAGGAAAATACTCTGGCAGAAATAAGTCGCTGAAATTGCTAAAATTCGACTATAAAATCGTTGAAGAAATAAAAATAACTGAAATATTATTAAAAATATTTCAGCATAAAAATAGTATTATTAATATTGAAATACTATTTAGAGAAATAATGAATAAAAAAATAAAGAGTAATAAAAAATATTGAAAACTAAATGATATTGAAATTATACTAAAATTAATAAACAGTAATAAGAAATAATGAAAACTAATACAAATATATTTAATATTCGTACAAATTTATTTACAGACATTAAATTTTATTTAAAGAAATTAAATACAATATTAAAGAAAAATATTGAAATATCGTAAATCATACAAATAATTTTTGAAAATGTATGAATAAGCAAAAAATAATGCAAAACAATATTTTTACAGTTTATTGTACACTGAAATATTCTAAAATATTATAAATTTTAAGAAAAAATAATAAAAATTGGAAACGTAATGACATTGAAATTGTCTGAAAACAGGCGGTGCAAGTTGGCATTATCATCGTAAACTACCACCTTTCAAATAACACCATACAAAATTTTGGAATAATTCATATGATAACTTTGATTTGACAGCAATTCTTAGTGAACGTGTTTGGTGTTTTTAAAACAATGGAAAAAGAACAATATCGATCCGTGATTTGCTGTTTATTTTTGGATAGAAAAACGTGCAAAGAAATAAAAACGAAGTTGGATGCCATCTATGGTAACCCTTCACTATCTACGATAACCGTCAGATTGATTCAACGAATTCAAACGTGGTCATTCATCTATTTTTGATGAGAAACGCCTAAGCCGCCCGGCAAACGAGGAATTTTTGCGTTGAGTCGTAATCGTTGATGACACATTCATCACTATACACCGGAGATCAAGGAGCAGTCAAAAGTGGACTTCACTCAACGAACGTGCTCCGAAGAAGACAGTCCCATCGGCCGGAAAGGTGATAGGATCGCAACTGTTTTTTGGAATGTGCAAGGCTTCATCGACTATTTGGAAAAGGGAAAAACTATCATGAAGTAGTATGCTGATTTATTGGGTCGATTCGATGTTGAAGAAAAAACGGCTCCATTTAAACGGCACGGAAAAGTGTTGTTCCACCACGATAATACATCGGCTCACTCCTCCGCAGTCGCTAAAATCAAATTGGTCAAATCGCACTATAAATTGCTGCTGCATCCACCGTACTCTACGGATTTGGCCCCTTGCGACTTCTTCCTGTTTTCAAACTTGAAAAAAATGGCTCAGTGGAAAGAGATTCACGTCGAATGAGGTCATCGCCGAAACAAAAGCCTATTTTGCAGAGTGCGACAAATCGTATTTTTCAGAGGGGTTAAAAAAATGACAGGGGCGTTAGGAAAAGTGTATTTTCCTAAAAAGGAATTACGTTGAAAAATAAAAAAAATGTTTGTAAAAAAAACTTGCATCTTCATTACTCTAACATGGGTACTTATTGATTTATCCTTATATATTATTTTTTAATAAAGATTAGATTTATTAATAAAGTAATCAAAAAAAGAACAATAGTATTAAAATGTTAGAATTTTCATAAAAGGAAAAAATATTGAATGAGTGAAAAAAATTCCGAAAAACAATCAGTTAGCATTATAACAAAAAGAGTTGAAGTCATCTTTCTAAGAGTGCCGCTAGATGGTGTCGATTCTCATATGTAAAATCTAGTTTTGCCCACACTATAAATCTGATATGATATAATGATACAATCAGATTTATATGACCGAAGCTCGGATTATTTGCAGACATATCAAATTTACATTTATACACTGTTTTTCACATATAGTATTTAGTATCAATGCGAAGCTAAATATAACAATATTTTAAATTGAATAATTTATAAAATATTAATGAATAGTAATGAAACTCATCATATATTTCATCATTATTCATTACAATTTCAATAATATTTTATCACTATTCATTACAATTCAATAATATTTCATCATTATTTATTACAATTCAGGAAAAAATTTTCATCAGGATGATGTAAGCAACTTAAAGATATTTGGTCGATATGTAAAAAGTTCATATGTCAGTAAATATGCAGTGTAAGGGAAAGGGACCACCCTCTAATGACTTTGATCTTGATACACGTTGCCAAGGTTCATGGCATCAAAGCTGATGAAGAATCAATGTATTAATTCAATTACTAAGAAAATCGTCATCAGTAAGGATATCAAATTTTTAGAGGATCAGCTAAGTTCATCAGTGATTATAAATATTGAAGATAACGTTTCAGTGAGAGATGATTCATGTGATAAGGGGGATAATTAAAATCAATTCGTACGCCAAAGCCAAGAAACTTTAAAGTATTTATTACCTATTTGCCAATAGACAGCAAAAACGACGATTCATTAACGCTCAAAGAAGTAGTAGAAAGAAGAAATCGTAAAATGTGGAAAAATGGTCATCGATGAGGAATTAAAGATATTTGAAGAAAATGCTATTTTTGAGCACTCGTCTTGGTTTGCCATGTGATAGAAAAATTACAAAATACAAATGAGTCTTCAAGACAAAACGTGATGAAGAATTGAGAAGTAATGCGTTATAAGGCAAGACTCATGGCCAAAGTCTATTCGCAAAAATATGGTACAAACTACAGTGAAACATACTCACCAGTCATGAGGTACATGTCGATTCAATATTTGATAGCTTTGGCAGTCAAACGTGGATTGAGGATAGATCAAATGGACACTGTGACAGCATTCCTCCAAAGCGACTTATCTGAAGAAATATTTATGGAACTACCAGATGGGTTTAATAATGATAAATATAAAATGTACCGGCTAAGAAAAATTTACAATCTAAAACAAAGTAGCCAAGAATGGAACAAGAAAATGGAAAACAAGTTGAACACTTTCAGATTTAACAATTACGTGCGAATCCATGTATGTACCATTACATGTCACTAATAATAACCACTATATTGTCATTAATAGTAGCCATTTATGTAAATTATTTTTTTTATCTGGGTAAATTGAAGTCAAGGACCAGTTGAAGACATCACTCAGTGTGGCATTCAAAAGATATAGGAAATACAAGCATTATATCGGATTACGAATTACACATGTAAACCGACAGTGTCTTTAAGTGATTCTTCAAATTAAAAATTCTCAATTGAAATGAATCAAAATAATAAAGAAGAAAAACTAGAACTTGCAGAAATACCATACCGGGAAGCGATTGGAAGCCTACTATATTTGGCGCAAGGGGCACATCTCGACATCGCATTTATGATCAACGACGTGAAATTAATCTCTAACTAACGACAAGGCACACAGTTAAACACATCTTTCGATACTTGAAGGAGACCTTGAACTATACGATACGTTATTCAAAGTCAAATATTAATGACATATTCGATTTTCAAATATATTTCAATCAGGGCCTAAAGTCGAACGTTAAAAATAAAGCAACAAAAATTAATTGGATGCGACAACCAAGAGCACCTTGTGTCTTGCCAAAATAGACTGCTTCAGAGCAAGATCCAAGCATGCAAATGTATTGATATTCGTCATCAACACATTAGCGAGAAGATTACAGACAGAGTCATTGAAATGGAATACGTTCCTACTAAAGAGAATGGTTGACAGCCTTACCAAAACAGTCAATGAACGCATAGAGCTAATCTTATATGCATAAAAGATTGGAAATTAGCTCTATTGAGTAAAATAGTAAACCGTAATCAGATTTTTTGCGAAAGTAATTTGTTCACTGTATTCCGGTTTGTTTTTTTCTGTTGTTCTACAATGTAATTTTTATATTCAATAAATAAGAGTGTTATAATAAGACATTTAATTTCCAAACTATGCGTTGTACAACGCCATTCATTGTCAGATAGATATCCCTAGTGTACTACTATCTTTCAATAAAATGCTCACTCTTCGATTATACTTTATATCATACATTTATATAGCTCCCTATAACCTGTCCACTTTTAATAATTCATTAAAATAAATACCTCAAAAAAATGTTGTTAATCTGTTTGCGTATGAAGGCTCTAAGACCCAGGAACTTGCCATAAATACGATGCAAAACGGTTTTCAAGAAATCTCTTTCCCTGGGATCTTCCGAATCAAACAAGTCCAATAACTGTAACAGATAATTATAATCAGTTATGTGTGTTTGTATATTCATTAATTTAATTATATTAACCCTTTGTGTCACAAATTTTTGTATGAGACCGATTGTTGTACCTGGGGATTTTTTGGGTCACTGATTACGAATCAGAAATCAGAATTTTACAATGGCCGATCCAACATGACTTATTAATATCATAAATAATTTTTAATAAAATATTTAGTATACCATTATTTGTAAAAATAAATTATTTAGTAAGAAATAGGTTTTAATAATGACCTCAGATTCCAATGCAGCGATCAAAGTGCACAAAAACCAACTTTTAAAATAATAAGATTAGATGAGTTGTGCTAACTTAACTCAGACTTGCAGTATTGTTCACATCAAAACTCAATTTATGGACAGAAAAGCTGCAAGAGTAGATGTTGTAGCTAACATATTTCTCAAAAGTCCTGTATAAATTTAAGGATACATTCTCGTAAAATTTTCCAAAAAATCGATTTTTTTATTGCATATTTCAATTTTACAACATTTTATGGACATACTGTCAAAATTTCAAAAAGAAATTCGTAGAATTAACGATTTTACAGTAAAAAATCAATCGGCACTCGAAGCGCAGGCAGAGGGGCGAAGAGTACGACGTTCGGAGCGCAGGTAGCGGAGCTGAATAAGGGGAATAGGCAAAAAGTTTTGTTGTAAACAGCTACTTGGAAATTCAAAAGGATATCCTATATTATTATGTAAAAAGATAATTTATTAAAACGCTGCTTAGGAAGGAACACTCAAAACAGCAATGAGAGTTATAATCACAACTTATGGTAGTTAGCACCTAAGCACGTTTTTGCAGGAAAAACTGCAATTGCAATTGCTGTTTGGATATCAGCATGTGTTTTTAATAAAGCGCTTTTCAACTAATTTTTTAGTATTTTGGAATGAAAATATTGCTGTAAAAATGTTTTTCATATATTGACATGTACATTAATAAATATGTAAAAAATTAGACTTGTATATCATAGTTTTCTTTAAAAAAAAAATTCAAAGAAGGCCTTATTTTTAGTGTGGTTACACAAGAAAATGTATCCTTAAAGTCTTCATATGCATTTATGTCGGAGCAATGTTAATTTAAAAAACGGTATTCCATATTTCTTGCTTTTAATCTTACATATATTACTTATTATAGAACTTATTATGTTATAGAACATAAATTGGTCTATCACTCTTACGGACTGTTAAAAAGAGTGATGTGTTAAAAAGAGATATTGAAAAGCAAGATTGTAATACTACTTTACCTGTAACACGAATTTTTGGTCAATAACTTTTTTGCCAATAGCAGGCTGGAAATCTGAAGATTCAAGAAAACGGAGGAAGACTTCATAGACCAACTGAAGATGAGGCCAACTCGCCTCCAGTGTTGGATCATCTTCTTCTGGATCAAAATCTGGATTTTCGCTAGGTGGCAATGTACGGAATAAATTTGCAGAAACCTTTAACAAATACCATACAAAAGATCTTTAAATGATTTCAATCTATAGTAATACCATTCAATAATAATGAATTAAATTTATTACGTTCATTATTACATGGAAAAAATGTACTAACAGCATTAATTAAACACACTCTAATTGAAATAATCTTCTATATACGAAGAAGTGCCTCGGTAGTCTAATTGGCTAGGATACTTGCGCGTAAAGTAAGCGATCCGGGTTCGACTCCCGGCCGAAATAATATTTTTCGCAATGTAATTAAATTATTTACAGATTTTTAATATGTCATTCATAGATTTTAATATGTCATTCAACATATTATTAGGATCCAAAGATGTTATGGGCATCAAAATTGTTAGATTGTTAATCAATTTAACTCGTGATAGTTATTATTACTGCGGTAGTTTATTAGTTTGCGTTGTAAATCTGGAAAAAATTTCGGCGCGAATTCACACAAAATTATATTAGAAACACTTAAGATCCAGCTTGACCGTAAATGGTTTATTCTCATCGGTATATACAGGCTGTTTGAGAAGTAATGAAAAGTTTTGTCGCATAGAGATAGAATGGACTAAACTGAGAAGAAAACTCCCCTACCATTTTACAATTTTCGTAATAGTTAACGAGATATTAATTTATAAAAATATCCAAATTCGCCCGGCCCACAACCAAATGCAAGCGCGCGGCTGGATACGACCGTCCAGTGAGGCGCGCAGCGCGCGTTCACCGTCGCTATGCACGCGTTGTTATAACAAGCGACAATGGTCGTCGCTAGACAATGTCCATTGCCGCTTGTTATAAACAACGCGTGCATAGCAAAGTTAGAATTTGGAAGGAACATTACTAAGGCCTCGGTAGTCTAATTGGCTAGGACACTTGCGCATAAACCAAGCGATCCGGGTTCGATTCCCGACCGAGGTAATATTTTTTGCAATAAAAAGAATTATTTTCAGATTTTAACATAGTTTAACATCGATATAAGATACCAAAAAAAGGCATCAATTAATTATTAAATTGTTATTCAATTTAATTCGTGATAGTACTGCGGTAGTTTATTAGAGTTGTGTTTCAAGACCGACAATTGTTCGGTGCGCAATTTAGAAAGACTACATATATTAGTATATATGTATAAATTCACACGAAATTATATATAAGTAACTAAGATCCAAGCTAAACTGTTATAGACTTCGTATTCGTATTAGTTACGTTTTATTAATGTTTTAATAATTGCAGAAGAAATTAAAGAAAAAATGGTTTAAAAGAGAAAAATTTTATCGAGGCAAATTCAAATCAATAATTAGACTGGGCGGGTTAACGGACTTTTTCGGAAAAAAGTAACCAAATTACAATAAACAATGCACATTCTAATATTATAATGTAAAAAAAATCGTTCTTACTGTATTTAAGGTCAAGATTACATTAAATAATTTTAATAAAAATATAATTTTAATATAATTAAATATAATTATATATAAATCCCAAGAGTTTTATTTCAAATCTGTTTTTTCTATTTTTTTTATTTCCCGAAATATTCGTCGAATAATAATTCATAATATTAACTATAATTCTACATTTAAAAATACACATTTAATTTTTTGTGTGATTTTAATAATGTGTATATTTTTTTAAAAACTTATATTTCCAAATTTTTTAAAATATGATGCATATTTACTATTACATCAAATGCGATAATTTGATGAGGGCATCCAAATCAAGATTCGAGAATCTGATTACGTAAAATCAGACTGTAATCGAGTAATCAGGTCTATGCCCCATTGCCTAATCGGTGCCTATCTGACGGTCAGATCAGTTCCTAATCCGACAGCTTAATCAAGGTCATTTGATACTTGGAGTTACATATCGCACTAGGGCTCTATTAGGGCATCGAATCTAAACCGGATCTGAAAGTAGAGCAAACCATACGTGGATCTAAGCCCTACAAAAATTTCTAATCGGATTGCTCTTAAAAGCAATTAATTTTAAAATAGTTATTTTTTAATTTTAATTTGTATATATTTTGGATTGCTAACTTCGCATGAATCTAACATCTTCTCTCTCATCTTTAAATAAATTTCTACTAAACTGCTTGAGCACTAAAATCATCAATAGGGCATTAAATTAGCATCTAATTAACATTTAACTTTAACTAAAACTTAATACTTTTATTTTTTATTTTCAGTAATAGAAGTACTAATTTGACGGATGTCACACCAGCATCTCCTTAATACATTATTTTGTTCGTGTAGACATATTTAATATATGTATGTTAAAAGCATTATTTAATATTTTTTAATATACTTTCGAATTTTATTGTACTTATTAGGCACATAAACAAAAATCAACAAATTATTAGATTAAATCAGATTACTTGTAATTATCCTACAGAAATAGTAATAAATTCATATAATATATTATAGAATGGCTCCCAATAAAATATGATACAAATTAAAAGTATGATGTGTGTGTGTGTGTGTGTGTGTGTGTGTGTGTGAGAGAGAGAGAGAGAGAGAGAGAAAGAGAGGACTACGAGCCAAAGACAATAGATTTAATGTTCCTAAATAAAAGTCAAAATGACCGTATAAACATAGTTAAATACAAATGTTTCCGATCGAGTCATTATCAATATTAAATATATATAGTAATTTAGATGATTAAATATAAAAATAATAAAATAATAAAAGGATTACAGACATAATTAATAAGTATTATCATAATTTGTAATATTATGGATATTAACGCCAAAAATTCCTTTTTTCTATAATATGTGTAAAATGTATATGAATCAGGTAATACTTTCGTGTCATTCTGGCTGTTTAAACCTTGCTTCTTAATGTGAACCATTTCAGATATTAATCTTTTATTATATGATGGTTCGTTATTTAAAATTCTTACTGTATTCCAATTAAAATTGTGGTTACAATTAGTTCGACGTTCTGTAATAACAGATGGAAGTCCCGTTTTTTTTTCTTTATGTCTGATATGTTCTTGTAATCTAGCTCTTAATCTTTTCTTAATTTTTTACCAACATAATTAGCTTTACAATCCTCATAAGAAATTTTATAAACTACATCTTGATGAGATAATAAATCAAATGGTCTTTACCTTGTTTTATGTTTTTTTTTTTTGAAGAGTTAGGAATGGAATAAGCTAATTTACATATAAGTTTAAGAGCTATATAGGCATAAAGCTTTCAGAGACAGATCTAACATATGTAATTAATATTCTGAAAAGAATTATTTTCACACTAATGGGGAATAATATTCTAAGAAAATAACTTACTGAACAAGGACTGGAACATACGAAAAGTCAGAAGATATACAAGAATATAAAAAAATAAATTTTATTTTTAACTCTCTAATAATTTTCTTATATTTTTTGTCGCGATTTTCTTATTAAATACATACCATCTTGATAGTTTCCGGATAAATAGGCTCGGTAAGAACACCTCGCCCTGATGTGATATATTCGACTAATTCATTGAGCGTACTTCGTTTAATTTCCTTGCCTTTGAGATCAGCCATTGGGTCCATGAAATCGAACGCCACGCAGCATTGACGTAACTTTTTGATAAACAATTCCTCCTGCTCTGCAGCGTTAACATCTGCAACAAACAAATAGTGTTAATATAACTTGCAATTTTACATATTTTAAATCCCTTCCGCGACAATCCTTCCAAATATGTATTATAAAGAAAGACTTCAAGAGAAATTATAGAACCAACTTATATACTCCCGTGTGAAACCGGCCCCCCCAATATTAAAAAATCGATTTTTTTCTTCACGCATTCGTTTGCTCATCGTTTGCTCACGAATGCTCAGTTGGAATTTTCGTTTGCTCACCCTTAGTTCAAAAGATTTGTGAGCAAACGATGAGCAAACGAAGGCATGAAGAAAAAAATCGATTTTTTCATTCGATACCAAAACATAATTTTCGGATATCTTTTGAACTAAGGGTGAGCAAACGAAAATTCCAACTGAGCATTCGGGAGCAAACGATGAGCAAACGAAGGCATGAAGAAAAAAATCGATTTTTTAATATTGGGGGGGTAGTGTGAAGTTGGCCCTCCAAAACATAATTTTCGTATATCTTTTGAACTAAGGGTGAGCAAACGAAAATTCCAATCGAGCATTCGTGAGCAAACGATGAGCAAACGAAGGCATGAAGAAAAAAATCGATTTTTTAATATTGGGGGGCTAGAGTGAAGTTGGCCCCCCAAAACATAATTTTCGTATATCTTTTGAACTAAGGGTGAGCAAACGATGAGCAAACAAATGCATGAAGAAAAAAATCGATTTTTTAATATTGAAGGACCAGCTTCACACGAATCTTATATGTCCTCTTATTTAGATGTGTGTTTCGCATTATAAATAATTCATTCATTATATATGCAAACCAGAAACGGAGAGCAAAGTGCTTGATGAAGTACTATATTTTTAATTCTCTGCTGCAACATCCCAATAAAATGTTATCGTTTGTTTTAAATTTGTAAGCAAACAATTTAATTGAGCCGATAGAAACTAGAAGAGTATTAAGTTACACGAGTCACGAGAGAGCAGGATGATCAAATGCTGAAATGATTGTACAAACCAATTACGTAGCGTGTATCTTTCAACTAAAAGTTTTCAACAAATAATCTGAGGTTTTTATTTCTTTAATTCAACTTTGATTCGCTTAAAATAAAATGAAAAATTTCGTTATTCATGAATATACGTATCATAGAAATCTCTTATGAATAAAATCTTATGATCTTAGATGATCTAATAAAAAAAATATTTTTGTTTCTGCTAAATTTCCACCAAGAAAAATAAGTTGGTCAAAGATGAATTGATTAAAGATAAATTGATTCATGAATTTCATAGTTATACGTTTAAAGATGATTTCAATCAAATTCCATTTAACTTAATCGGAAATTAACCTATCATGCAACATTTGTACTATTTTGTTAATATTTTTAAGATTATTATTTTTTATTTAACATACAGAAAAAAAGTTCAAGCTATCAATTTATATTATAAAATTAGAAATTTTTCTTTAAATACTACTACTAGTTAAATCAATTATCCATCAAATTAACTGAAATTTAATCAAAACCATCTTTAAACATTAATTTAAAAATTATGTTTTCTTTATAGTTGTAATTTAGACAACTATCATTGTTATGATATGTTCATATATTGAATAGACCAAAAGTTTGGATGCCCCACTCACCCACCACACACCAATTGAATATTTCATAAACAAATGAATTTCTGAAAAAAATGTTTAAGAGTTATAAGATTTGATGAACAATGCATTAAACGGTGAGACCTATTTCATCTTGAGTGTAAATATAAAGAAGTTTTCAAAAAGTAAATTTTGAATTAAAAAAATTTACTTTTATTCATTATTCTAATATCAAAATTTTTTCAAAGTATTACATTATAATAAAATTCCTTTCGAACTTGATATAACATTTGTCAAGATCAAGATCATTGCAAATTGTTTCTCTCATTTCCATTTTAACGTAAAAATGAAAATAAGAGGAACAATTTTCAATGTCCTTGATTTTGATAAATATTATCATGACTCTAAATAACATTTAATAATTTTAATAGTTTTAGCTGTTGAAGTGTGTGAAGTTAGCACAACATTCTACTATCTACTAATATAAAAAAATAATGACAGTTCTAGTAACATAATATTTTTTATAGTTTCATAGTTTTAAGCAATGCCTATACCAGTCGAAAATGTATCTTGAGTTAATGAGTTCTTTAAATAAATAATTTCATGTAAATATTTATATACGTGTTTATAGTCTCTTTGAATTGTGCGTCAAAATAATTTTTCAGACTCATAAACGCAATTGAACTACTATAATAATATAACAAACCAAATTGCTTATCAATTTAATAATTTGATGCTCAATTGGCATCATTTTCAGATCTTAATATTATGTATTAAAAATATGCAAATATTGCAAAAAAATATTACCTCGGCCAAGAGTCGAATCCGAATCTCTAGCATTCTATGCGTCCTAAGCCTTTAAATTACCGAGGTCTTAGTAATATTCTTCGCAATAACTGATATATAGAAATATATACATCTTTCAGGCAGCACATATAAACAGTAATAAAGAATTGATCGTATAATGTGAACACACAATAAGTAAGAAGCCTATACTGATTGAAGCTGGATCTTGAGTGCTTTAAATAATTTCACGTGAAATTTACTTTTTAATATATTAAAATCTTCTTAAAATGGTGCCAATTGAGTATGAAATTAATAATTGCTAAGTAAAACATATAAATTGAATTTGTGATATAGTACTATAGTAATTTAATTGTGTTTATAGCTCGAAAAATCATTTCAGCAATTTGAAGAGACTGCAAAAGTGGTATATAAATTCATTCTCATGAAATTAAGCACTGAAGATTCGACTGGCATAGACATTGCTTTTTATTTATGGTGTGTTACATTATACGGTCCTAATAAATTGTTTATTATTATTTATAGTTTCTATATAAAAATAAAAGCCCCGCATTTTTTATATAAAAAAACCAAATATGAAAACATGGAGTACTAACTCCACGAATCTAGCATGATGCTTTTCTTCTAGAGCACAAGAAAACGATAAATATTAGCACTTTTAGCAACAGTTGCTGTTAGTTCTATTAGAGATCTACTAATATATGCACTTTGAAAACCAAATTCCAACAATTATCAATTTTTATAAGTATCGTTCTAATTGCTTATAACAAGTTCCAGTAGCAGTTTTTAGCAGCAGTTCTTATTAGTCCTAACAGAGTTCTGGTCGCTATATACATTTAATTAATTTTTTAATATCTGGATCTAGCACGATACTTGTAGAAAAAGTGTTGTGCTGACTACTTCCAGTAATTATAGCGATAGTTCTTGTTAGCTTTAACAGAGTTCTATGCTATATAATAATCTCATTTTTAAACAAAAAGTCCTAGTCCCTACATATTATTAATTAATTTTTTAATATTTAGATCTAACATAAAACGCGTGTAGAACGTGTCGTGTTGATTTGCTTATAGTAGTTTTATTGACAGTTCTCATTAATTCTATCAGAGTTATATGCTGTAAAATCATTTTTATAAAGCGTTCTATAGCTACTGAATATTTTTTAACAATTTTTAATATCTAAATCCAACACGACACATTTTCTCCAAATGTCGTACTGACTTGAATATTAAAAAATTATTTTAAAATTTACATTCGACGAAACACTTTTTAAAAATAATTATATTTTTATAACTCAAAACTTTGCTGAAACTAGCGAGGACTGTCGTCAGAACTATAATAAGTAACCAGCATGACAGTTCTCCTTCAAGTATCATACTAGACTCGTAGACTGAGAAATTAATTAAAAATATGTTGTGGCCGGAACTTTGTATAAAAATGAGAGAGAGGGGGGAAGGGAGGGACAGAGAGAGGGAGGGAGGCAGAAATTATAGAGCATAAAACTTTGTTAAAAGTGACAAGAACTATCGTTATAACTGCTGAAAGTAGCCAGCACGATATTTTTTCTTCAAATGTTGAGCCCTGTCTTCTACTATATATTTAAAATATGTAAAAAAATTGATAATTGTTGGAATTTTGTTTCAAAAATGCATGTGTTAGTAAATCTCTAGTAGAACTAATGTGGGAACTGTTGCTGAAAGTGTAATTTATCTTTTCTTAGAGGTATCTGTATTTTACAGGAAAAATATCGTGCTAGATTCGCAAAGTTAGCATACTGTATTATCATTTTTATTTGTTTTTCTTAGATATAAAAAATATGCGGAACTTTTTTAAATTTTACATAAAACTGTCGACCTATGAAAGTCCTACTAAAACTCTGTGTTATGATATATTTTTTATTTTAATAGGATATCGTGCTAACTGTACAGATCCAATGCGTCTGTAGAATTAATACCCAAACAATGAAATTCTATATAGTTTTGATTGAAGTTTCCATTTCATTTTGAGACGAAGAGACCTAATAATATATAGTTTATAACAAAATTTCGTTTTAATATTTTTCCACAGAACTCGTCGAGAACTGTCCAAGAATCCCAATCAAAATTACAAGTATTCTCAAAAAAATATTCATCGCCGAATAGAAAATTTTCGACAAGTGAAAAATTTTTTTGAAAGTTCCAATAGTTTTAATTAAAGTTCTAAACAGTTCTCGGCGAGTTACGTTGATAAGTATTACGGTTCAACGCGATTGAATGTGACTACTAGAGGTAATTTCCAAAAGAACGGCAAGGGGGCACAAGATGTGAAACTTCATATTTTAACACAATTTATAACGCTTCTATTGTGGAAGCAGCGACTGATTTTGCTCGTGGCGATAGATACTTTACTTTGGAGCCTAACATAATGTGCAATTCAGTTAAAGATTAATCTTGAGAAATGGATCAATATATTAACTTTTTTTTTTCGATAGCACACAAATTAGCACAAAATCAGTACTATTAAAATCTTATTTTATTTTCCTTTTTTTTCTTTTTCTTCCTTGTGGTCCTGCTAGCTTAATGTTAAGCTGGCAACACCATACGTTTCTTTTAAATAGCATATGGTACAAAACTTTTTTGTAGTACAAATTAGCACAAAATGTACACTAAATAGTTCAAAAGGTCTCTCTTTTTTTATTTTGCTTATTTGGTCCTGCTAGCTTGACGGAGGTACTTATTATTAGTTCTACAGTATTCCTTGCTATGCACACAAAACTTAATTTATCCAAAATCTAAGAATTAAGATCGCTTCTCCCTGTCAGTAGACAGACAGATTAAAAACATTCAAAACAAACGGAAAGATCTCTCTTGATCATATTCAAAGAAAGAGACATAGTGATAACAGCTATAACGATGACAATTATACAAATTTTATATATAGAATTAACATATATGAATAAAAAATTTTGAAGTTTTTGTATTTATAAAATAACCAATTAATGTACATTAATTTATCCAACTATATGTTCAATTCAACTCAACGTGTAAAGATGTAAACTTGGATAGTTGTCCCATCAATTTCTTTATGTCCAAGTGCGAACTAACCTTTAAGCAGAGGCAACTGCTGAAGCTCAACATCCTGCGAATTGCGATAGCGGGAGGAGCCCTGCGACTTCTTGGATTTCTTCTTGAGAGATCGCTTGGCGAATGGGTCTATCCTGTCGACGAAGGCCCCTGACGACATTTTGGCATAAACAGAGGCACTATCCTGGTGATGCTCAAGCAGGAGCGCTCGCGTCTGTTTTCTCTGGATGTTCACCTTTCCACACAGACAGCGGGCTTGTTTTGCGACTAAAGACCGAGATCACCTCCGCCCCGAAGAGGCCGCATGCCGTGGCCGCGACTGTGACGAATACACACACTCTAGACTCACAAGGAAAGGAAAGAAAGGCACACACTGTTACCACAATGCACGTCACGCTGTTTTATATCCGATCGCATCAATTCTTCTCTTTCTTTCCTGCCTGTTCTCAGTCCACGCGGCTCCTGGACATGCGTTACCATTCACGCTGTGTGTACCGAGCAACGTAAAGTATCAACGGAGATAGAGAATGATGATGAGGTGTAGTTTGCCGAGAAGGACGTTTATCGCGCATAGCACACGTGGAGCGAATAGCACTCGTTTCCTTCGGTCAGATCAAATCGAGAGAGACCTTGGCCGTTTCCGAGATTTTCGCAGCACTCGCTCTTTGAAACTAGCCGGCTTTCTGGTTGTCGTCGCTGTTACCGTCACCACGATAATCTTCAAATGGCTAGGCGTTGTCACATACGAATGCACGCCCGTGCGGCGGCGGCCGTCCGTCCGTCCGTCCGTCAGTCCGTTCTTCCTTCCTTCCTTCCGCGAACGTAGGTGCTCCCACCTACAACCGTGTGTAAAGTATGTGAAACGCTGTAGTATGACGTTGTAAAACGTCCGACCGGTGTCTGTCTTCGCTTTTTCAATTCGGTTCCAATTCGATTCACTCGCGACGCACAGTGAACTCGATCGACATTGACAATGACGACGACATCGACGGCAGCGGCAGGAACACGTCGGTAGTGGATAGGCTGCCACTGCTGTTGCTGCTCCTGATGATTTCGTTGGTCGATCACCCGCTCGAGGACCGAAGGACTCCTCTCTGACTGACGACGATGTCACGAACTGCGTGCCGTTCGCTTGCACGTACGCACGCACGCACGCACGCACGTACGCACGTACGCACGCAACGTGCGACCGCGCACACCGAGTCGAGTCGTACTGAATCGCCGGTGGCTGAAGAGGAAAAGAGAAGCACCGTTATGAAATGGAGCAACTTGCGCATACAGTTGATTCGGCCGTCGGCGGCGCACGTTCCGTGTAGGAAGTATGGCTGCGCGTGCACACACACACGCGCGCGCGCACACACACACACGGTATATACAATCGCTTGGAGCAGACGGAATGGGCGCAATCCGTCGTCGCCGTCGATACTAGATACTCCCTTTTCACAGCGGCGGCCGACAACTGCCGATTAACGTTACGACTGCTATCGCTAGGATTGTTACTCCGTCTCCACTTCCTCCTCCTGCTTGCTACTCGCACGCACTCCGATATACGGTGATGACGACGTTTCGGGTAGACGTTTATGTTAGGAGCAGCTCTCACAAGTAGCATTGGCCACGACCGCCATCAGCTGCTCGCTGCTACGTGGAGGTTTATCTCTCATGTTCCGGTGGAACGAACGCGACCTTACGTCAGGCGTCGACAGTCACCGGAACGTGGCTCAACATCGCCTTGCCTTTTGCGCTGCTGTCGCTACTATCGTCCCTGCTAGCTGGCTGGCTGACTGGCGGGCGGGTTATAGCGGCTACTCGGCTGCGGCGTCGGCTGGCGTATACGTTCTATCGCAAAAGTCTCACTTTTTCGACTTCGCTCCGCCACCGCTCCACACACTCGTTGCACGCGCGCGCGCAAACACGCCACTCCACCGCCCTGACCAAATTTCGCTCTTGTCCACCGCCACCACTGCACACCGTGCTGCTTCTTAAGTCAAGGAGGGGGGAACGGGGTGAGTCTCCAATGTCTGTTTCGCGATGATCCGTGAGGCTGAATCATACGCGGGAAAAAAGTATTCGAATCTTGCAGGACTGTCACGTCCTCACACCGTCTCGCCTTCACTTATTGAAAATCCGTCAAGAGGTGCCCTACGTGCCTGAAAATAGTAACATATACTACTCGGGAATTGTTTGCCGAAGGCGACCGAATATCGACGAAAGCGCTCGAGCTTGACAGGTGGCGGTGGCGTCAGGAGACCAAAACTTTTTCACACGCACGCCGCTAGTAGCGACACGCCAGACGTCACTGGCCGCAGGCCGCGACCAATGGCAATATACTGTCGCGTATCAGCTGCGGATCGATTTTCTATTGCTGGATTCACACTGCATCCGATTTTCGTCGTACGACGACTCTGCAACCAATCAGAAAAATCGTATTATCGGTACGAAGCAAAATTTTGTTTTCTGGGCCGGGATTCTCTAAACGTTTTATCGATGATTGTCGCTATCGGTAACTAGAGACAGCCAAAGGCAGGACAATCCTAAAAGAAAGTGCGGCTCTCATTGGCTGTCGCTAGTTAACGATAGCGACAATCATCGATAATGGCTCTGCACACCAAGCGCGATGCGCGACACGCGATACGCGATATCCAATAAGCGGCAAGCGTTTCCGCGTCCAAGCTGCGTTCCGTTTTCACTGCAAGTACTGAAAATTTATAGTTCGCGTTACGTATACTATAGATTTTCTTGCAGTGATTAACGGAACGCAGCCCCAGTGGCTTGAAGCCATAAACATGTATCTATTTTGCTCCAACCTATTGCACTGTAGGTACTACAGTAGGTACTGTAGATACTACAAAATAATTTTTTTTTTTTAAGTGATGAAAACTGATCCCCTTCTGTTTATAATTATGGTATTGTGCCACAAAACATTATGTAGTATTTCTTTTTGATTTCACTTTATTATTTTCCATTATAGCACGTATAAGGTGTCTGACTAGCGAAGCTTCTACCGGCCGCCACTAGGAGCGCGCAGAGAGATCTTTGCAGAGAGATCTACCTTAATATGTAGGCATTCCCGATCATGCGCACTTGTTCAATTTCTGAGCCAATCAGCGCGCGACTTATTTCGCAATATAACATCTTCAATAGTTCAATATACCACACAGTGCGATAAGTTGAAGCGAAACAGACATATTTGTTTCATTTCAACTTATTGCACTTCGTGGTCGTGCAACAGTTCAGATAGTGCAGGCAAAAAGAACAAGCTGTTTCGAGACTTCGAGGTTAAGATATCTGTTATTCAGATTCGATACAGGGCTATGTATATGCCTTACTTACATAAATTCTCTGTTAAAAAATTTGTTTTTAAAACAGAATTCGCGTAGTTATGACGAATTTCCTAATTTGAATAGTCTGCTACTTTAACGCTTAATATCTTGCTTCCTGGAGTCAATCCAATTGTTTCTTATAAATTCTTTCGTTTCATATAAAAATGCGTTAATGAGCCTAATTTTATTAAAATCGTAGGTGAGACAAGTATTCTAAATAATTATTCTAAATAATTACAAAAACACCACAAATAAGTCTAATTTCATTAATTTTTTAGGTGCAGAATAGTTCGAATAATTATCAAAATGATATATCATGAGTGAAATGGAGCGTATCTTGAAAAATAAAACAAGCGCATGTCATCACAGTGTTGTATAGCTATAACAGATTTCCTAATCTGAAGTCGTCAGCTTTGACGGCTAATATCTCGATTCACAGAACAGAGCAACGCTTTTTTCTACCAGATTCTTTCATTCACTACGGAGCTGAACCATATACTTCATTATCCTCCTTATTTTTAAGTTGCCTCGAAGAAAGCGATATCATGAATGTTCTTACACGGTGTCCTGGATTATACTGCGGCAGGGAATTGCTGCCAGATGGTAACTGGAGCAGTTGTGGAGCTTGTCCACGCGGTTTCCGCGCCAACGCTTCATCGGCATGTGAACCCTGTGAGGACGCTCCGATGTTCTACGATTGGTTGTATCTAGGCTTTATGGTCCTGTTGGCTTTAGTCCTGCACTGGTTCTGCATCGATATGATTGCCATGCGTCGTAATATACCCAAAGAAGTGATCGCCCTTCATCTCTCTGCACTATTTGAAGTAGTCTTGGCGTCCCTCATAGTCCTTCAGTTAACAGATCCCATTGGATCGTTCAGCGTTAAATCATGTAAAGCAAAAAAATTATCAGACTGGTATACACTACTGCATAATCCGAATCCTAATTATGAAGTAACTTTACAATGCACGCAAGAGGCAGTTTATCCATTGTTAGTACATTTACCTATGTATTAAATAATTAAATTAATTTATTCATATAAAAATAAAGTTTTGTTAAATCTCTAGAGATTATAAAGTATTTCTATAATGTAATGAAGATATTAGTAAGATTACAATAGTAAATCTTCATTGATATTTTTAATCAAAAAAGTATCAGATAATCAATGCTAGAGTACTACTGAAAGTCTTGTTAATTTTTACTTGTCACAGAATACATTACAATTTTTAGAAGTTAAACGAAAACCATTGTTTTCCTCTGATATTTTAATATGAATCTATCAGAATATCTTCATGCATACGTACACACATGTATATATGCACTTTATATATGTATATATATATTGCATCTTTAATATGTATTACTTCATGATTTTACAGATACACTATGGTTTTTGTCTTCTACGCTTTAGGAATAATTCTCATGCTATTAATAAGGCCATTAATAGCTAAGAAATTTTTGCCCAAACAGGGCAAGTTTACTATTTATGCAGCGTTGTATTTCTATCCAATCCTTGCGTTGCTCCATGCTGTAGGAGGAGGTCTAATATGTATGTTGTATATATCTCATATAATATTATAAAACCACGTGCTAATTGTTAATTATCTATTTCTTTTTCAGATTACTCTTTCCCTTATATTCTTATTATCCTGTCGGTGCTTTCAAATGCAGCACATTTTGCATTTAAATTGAACCAAACAGTAAAGTCATTATTGTTGAGTTCCGTCTCAGATATAAAGAATGTGATTGTCATTCTGGGTCACTGGTTGCTGCACGGATACGGCGTGATAGCGATTGCAACTCTTCGAGAAATCACTATTCATCCCACGATGTTACTTCTAGTTGTCTTGCCTGCTCTATTTTATATTATAACAGCGAAGTTCACTGATCCACACAAACTGCATATTGAATAAGTCTCCCAATATAAATACATATAGATACATATAATGTTTATATATATCATCTTCCACATATGTTTAAAATTAACATGATTAGGCTGTGTTTTTATTATGTGATAAAAGCAAGATTTTATGGACATAGGCGTAAAAGTATTAATATTATAGGATTCTTTTAATAAAAATTTTCATCCAATATTTCGTGAAATTTTAAAAATACACGTTCTGGTAAAAAAGAAAGTTTCTAGAGAATGATAGAATTTCTATCAATTTGCATGGTTTTCTATAAGTTTATATCATTTTTTATCATCTATCTTGCGAGCATCAGATATGAATCCTAAATAATGACTCCTTTTATCTCCTCATGTGGAGCATAGGACGTCTACAGGCCTCTTCCACTTTTGTCCAAGGCCTATATTCGTTTCTCGAATCAAATTGTTTTCAAATTTGTGGGTGATTGATCCACAGAATCCTACCTCAGTCAATATATATATATATTGTATTTCTATCTCGGGTTCTACAAGATTTATATAAGATTCCTACAAGATTTGATTCAAATTAGTGAATTCACGAATCTATTCGAAACTATTGAGATTTTTTTTATCATTTTCTATAAATTTTTTTTACCAGGGCAGTAGAGAGTCCCTAAAAGAATTAATTTTTGTATTCAATGTTTGCTACATATGCAGTATGCATATATTTCATTACATATATACGTACATCAAGATATCATTCTTTTTGCTATACAATATATGGTTGCATACAGGTATACATAATATACGTAAAATCTTTTTCACATTAGTTTGTTTCAATATACGGACAAATCAAGCTTTTGCATAAATTAAAAAAAATAACTGCTCATTTTACTATGTATTCTGGATTATGAACAAACACATTTGATCTCTATATATATTTGTACAGGATACAGAGAAATAATAATATAGTTTAAAAATGATTCTAGGAAAGTAATAATAAATAGAAAATAACAGTGATATTGAACAAATCATAATTTCTTTTAGCTTTCGTTCCAGGATCTGAACCTACTATTCTGATGACATACACAAGATCAATAAAGTGATTTAAAATAGTATCCAACCCATTTTAAACGAAGTTTTTACATATTTTTATATCTTGAGTTCTTATTACCGTTTTTTTTTTAATTTAAATAAATTTATTTTTATATAATTTTTTATATAAACCATTATTTCCGTCAGTTTCGTATATTGAAACAAACCGCAATCGTATATAGCCGACTGCTCTCACAATTTGAATTATCTTTTGAATTGATTTAATCAATTATAAATTAAATTCAGAGATTATGATTCCTCTTTCGGTACAAATGTTAAAATCAGTGTGCTTTTCGGTGATACGGGTACAGCATCCGATGGCAGTTTCATCCTACAAAAACGATAAAGTTTTAGTATTAAAATGGAATAATTATTGAATCACAGATACAATAATAACATAGAGATTTTTATAGATCGTAAAGACTCTTACTTCATAGCTTCTGTATTTTGAACATAGTTAGGACTATGCGCGACTACGCTGATTTCCTCCGATATCCGCGGTATTCCGGATAAATTTATAGTGGCTAATTCTTCTCCAGTTTGATATACTACGAGATATCCAGGATTGCCGCTTTTTAGCCTATTAATTTAATTTACACATTTATCAACATATATTTTCGTATTTTGATCAAACATAACAAAATATGTCAAGAATATGTAAATTTGAATATGCATCGAGCCAATGTAAAAAAACTTATAATAATTTATTATGAACCGGTTGAAATTTGCCATATGGATAAATTTACTGCTACGTCCGTTTTCGTTAGATCACGTAGATCTAAAGCAATATTCTAATTGGCTCATCAGTTTAAGTTTACGTCTTTATAGTTACTGCTACAAAAAGTTTGATTACAATAGTCCTTAGGGCCTCAGCAGAATGGCTAACTTATAACCTCAAGACAATATCTTATGACCTATGTTTTTTGTCTTTAGTATTACGCGATACAAACGTATTGCGATTGCACTTTGCTATAAAAACTTGATTGTAAAAACATAATAAAACCAATTAATGGCTATAACTATCGTAAAAGTTTAAGATTATCCATATCGAACAAAATCAACCGAATAGTCGACTGTTAATTGGCAGAAGTCTAAAATCGACTTTAGTAACAATAACTGCCTTGTGACTCAAGTTATAAAAAAAATATTTATATGAAGTGTCACACATCGTATATATTACACCTTCAATTTTTGTGTGCTATCCGGATAGTTTTAAACTTGTTATCGGTAGTGTATAGCTATTTAATTTTATTATATTCTTACAGTCAAGTTTTTAACTAAATAAAATGTAATCGCGATATATTAATACCGCGTGGACTCACCAACTCCTGTGTCACATACAGAGAAGCGTGGAACAAGGAAAATATTCTTTGATTAATCTATTATATTTATAATATTATGTGCGCAAAGCACTTTAACTCATATTTTTAGGTTCATTCAACGTCTATTAAACGTCAAAAATGCTAAAGTATCTTTTTTTGTTTCTTATTAATTCTTTCACTGTGTCTGAGCCATAAAGGTAACTCAACATAAGTCAATTGTATTATGTATTACATTTATATTACATGAAGATGAATTCACTTATCCAATTAAAACCCATTTCCTTCATTCATTTTGTGTATAAATTTTGTTCTTTCGTATGTATAAATCAAATAAGAAAAAGATCAAGAAATAACGTTTAAACGATTAATTTTCAATGTTCCAGTCAATAGTTAATAATATACAGTATATACACTATTTTATTGCCCACAACGCTTTTAGAAGTCGCGAATATAATATTTAACTTTTAGTCATTCGTATTTAATTTTGATTAAAATATATGTAAATTCTTGACTTTATTAATAATTACCGTATCAATTTTTTAATAAATTGTTAAATTTATAGAAAAGTTATTTACCTTGTATATACGAAGACTGTTTCGTTTACTATTCTAAGCGTCGTATTTCCGTGAAGGAATGTTAGACTGCTTCGGGCACTTGACAAGGTCGCAAAAGCATCCTTCGCAGACATGACATCATTCATTCGAAGAATTGGTGTACCCGGTAATAACATTGTCATTAACACGATACTGTCAGCAACCTTTTCAGGCATGCGTTGTCTCAAGGAAAGCTGTTTGCCATTCACCTGCAATGGATACACACGCATATTTACAAAATTAAAGACTTAATATTAAAAAAATATCTTTCATAATATGAATATACAACTAAAAACTGAAGTCTTGTACGGTTTAATGGTTTAAAGGTTTTGCTGGATTTTTAATGACTGTATTTTTTATTCAGTGAATTTTACAAGCACGAAAGAGATTCGTCGAAACAGAAGCCTATTTTGCAGAGTTTGACAAATCGTATTTTTCAGAGAAGTTAAAAAAATAGCGGGGGCGTTGGGAAGTGTATCTTTCTAAAAGAGAATTAACATGTCGTTTCTTGCTTTTGATATCACAATTCCAACATGGCCGCGACGACTATTCAGGGACCTTAAAAAACTATTTTATAGACAAAAATAGTTTGTACATTTTATTACTTAATTTTTTTACAAAGTTTCACGCCGCAATAAAATTATTTCTTCTAGTTTAATCCATTCTACCCCTATGCGACAGAATTATTCATTACTTCTCAACAGCCTGTATATATACGCATATATGTATACTTAATGCAAGTTGAAATTAGATAATAAAAGTGATATATATAATATTATATATTATATAATATATAATATTATATATATCACAAATATCTTTAAAATTACATGATAAAATTAATCTTGTACTTACGTTCCACGCAGGCCATGACGTAACTGTAAGCCATTGTGATATGCTTTTACGCAAATCCGTCGCATTTATGCTCGCATTAGCAGTAGTGAGAAAATGTGAATTCTGTGGTAGATCAATCGTTGTCTTTTCGTTATAAACTTGCAGAACATCTGCACGGATGTCATCTTGTAACGCAAATAATCTGTAAATAACGTATCACGTTAGTAAATATTGAGGACACATCTAATTACAAAATTAAGCAAACATACCCTTTGCCATTGGTTTCATTGCGAACAATCTCTTGCCATTTTGACAACACTGCAGCATTCTCCGAACGATCACGTGTATAAATGTGTACCAGCGACTGGTAATTGTTTGGTTCTACTGGAAAAATACTCCTGGATTCGTCATGCAGATCCGGATTTTCCGTTAGATATTGCGTATTTGCCAAACGAAAACCACTAATGCCTAATTTAAGCCAATGAGTCAAGATATCCTTCAAAATAAATAAGACATAAGATATAAATTAAGGCTTATTAAATCGATCGATTAAAAATAGAATGCGAGTAACCTACTCCAAATTCTGTCACCACTGCTGGATTGTTATAGTTCAAGTCAGGTTGCGATTTATTAAATTGATGAAGATAATATTGGCCTCTTTCTTCGTTCCATTCCCATGCGGATTCACCATATACACTTAACTGCAAAAGCATATTTTAAGTTAATATAAGTCGTTCTCTTTCTATATCAGAGAATTATTTGTCAGAAAGAAGCATGACTAACCCAATTATTCGGAGGACTTCGCCTTTCTTTTCCACTATTGGAGCTGGTTATTCCATCAGCCCAAACATAATAAGACGTGAATGGATCCTCCCTTTTTACAGATTGTTTAAACCATGGATGATCAACGGAGGAATGGTTGGGATCTATCTCCAAAAAGATCTGTTGATCTTTTTCCTTTGCTATCTTAATGACATTTTCCAAATCACTGATGTTTCCGAATTCCGATTTGATGGCCTTAAAATCTATGACCTCTCCTACCATAAAAAAAAATAAAAACATTAATATAATTAAAATTACAGTTAGTATAATATATTCAAGGAAGATATTATAAATATATGTAGCATTTAAGTGTGCACATACCGTTTGCATTTTCCTTCATCAAAGATGAGAGAGAGATAGCTTTGATATGTTGGTTTTTCAAATTATTCAGTTTATGTTCCAATTCTGTCAAGTCACTGTTAAAAACATCTGAGGCATCTAACTCAATAATCACGCTCTCCTCCCACAGCTTTTTCGGTTCAGGAGCAGAACACTTTGGCGCCATTACAATGATGGCTATGGCACCAGCTAACATAGCTGCCCATATCAGCCAAAAGATAATAAACAAGGCCCATCTCAATTTTACCCAGAATGGATCATTTGCAAATTTCATCAATTCTTCCTTTCCCATTCCAGAAAGCACTGTTTTTACCATCTCAATATCAATTTTGGCGTCACCATTCTCTGAGATAAATTTTACCTATCAGAGAAACATATATATACATATATAATATATATTATTATGAAATAATTTAAACATAAAATAAAAAAAATTATAATACAATTACAAATACATCAGAAAAAGAATTGATAATAATTAATAAATATCATATTAATATGGTAATATATTTTCGAAATAAACAGTTGATCCTTAATGTATTCAATATAATGAATAACAATATATATAATAATAAATATTTGTTATTCGCGTTGTTTAAAATCCCTAAAAATTATTGCCCTTAAAGAAAGAAAATATATTAATATATATCTCACATAAATAAGGCTTTAAAAAAATTAATCATAAGTAAAACATGCAAGCCTTGATCTTTTCTAAAAGGTATTTAAACTTTCAGTCTGTGTCACAACATTTTAATGGTAAAACATCTTGAGTAAGGCCCTGTGTACAATGGAAAAAATATTAGGAATAGGAATAGATATTAAGATTTTAATCTATCAGAAACCAATTATATCGGAATACATAGTTCCTGATAAGTTGAAATCATAATATCTATTCCTATTCCTAATATTTCTTCCATTGTGCACAGGACCTAAAACTTCTCAGAGAGGTTATTAATCGCACAACTCTTTACACAGATCACAAACAGAATCCACAGAGTCAGATATTTCAGCTATAATACTTACATTGGGATTATAAAAGATGAGATAAAAAGATGAGGATAGAAACGATGGTGGTTTATTCTTTAACTCTTAGCCCAGATCTACAATAGATTTTTAAGCTATAAGGAATGGACCAATCACAATCAATTATTCTTCTTGCATTCGACTGTAATTGGTCAATTTCTTATTAAAGCTTAAAGTATCTATTGTAGATCCAGATTTATTGACTGTAAGTCTAGGACCACAACCTTGCTTTAAGAGGCTGACACTGTGATACGCTATGCTGGGATCAGTTACTTATTATAGCTTATTACATACATATATGATATGCAAAATAAAAGAAACAGAGAAAAGGATAATTATTTAAAACATCCCCGTCTACTTCAATATTAATTAAATTGGGCTGATTCGACAAATGTTTGTATGAAAAGAAAAAATCTTACAGAAAGAAGTATCACTCTGCCTCATGAATCAAGATATTAATCATTAAAATTACTGATTATTCAGTTTAGGAAATCTGTTAGATCCATGAAGAAAATCCAACTCTGTTTTTAGAATTTGATTTTAGAATTGTTTATGAGTTTTCAACTCGGCATACAAAACAAGATTTAATTTTTAAAAATTGACTTTGATTTTATAAATTTAAGTTTTATTTTTCCATCTTCTCTAATTTTCTTCCAAAAATTATCAAAGTGCATCTGGGAAAATATGATGAAATCATGGAACAATTGTGCTTTATAAAAAATATTTTAGGTAACTCATTATAACTTACAGAGCATACAAATGACAGTTAAGTTAACAGACTACTAACAATAAATACATTTAATATTTGTCCGATTTTAGATATTCAAATATTATTTTCTTTTAGAACTTTTAGAACAATTATAGAAAGAAAAATTAAATTTTTACTTTTGCGTTTTCAATATATTTTTTTCTTTACATATTGGGTTGGAGGAAAAATTTCGGAACGAAAAAGATTCTCACCTCGGTGGTCTTCTCATCTTTCTCAATTGCGATCTTCGCAGTGCTGTCCTCCTTAAGCATCCGTTCCTGTGCATCCTGATCCAAATCCTCGCTATTTCGTTTACCCATGATGACTGATGACGACGATATTATCGCTGCTATTTTTTTTGTTACTACTGCACTACGCTGCAATGGACGACATGCGAGGCTGCTGTTTAACTGTTGATCGACGATTCAAAATGACTTCCTCCTTCCTCCTTTCCTTCTTTCATCATGCTTCTTTCTGCTTTTTTGGCCTCGCCCATGTAAATACAAGGGTATGCTCTTGCGCATCGTAAAGGTGCTTTTTCATGCGCAGCACGCTGCAGCAGCAATTCGTTACTATTGGTTAAGAATTTTATGTAAGCTAGATGACGCACTTCCGGCGCAAAATACATTTTGCCGCAGTACGTTGAAGTTGAACCGAACGAACAGCAAGCGGCAAAATCGAGGCAATATTATTTATTGCAATAAATATTAGGAAAATTAACGAAGAATGGCTTCGGATAAGGTACGAATGTTTGTAAATTAGATCATTTTATACTTTACACTTTACTTTTTCAAATTTGTGGTAAAGTATAAAATGATCTAATTTACAAACATGTATCCGTACCTTATCCGAAGCCATTTTTCGTTTAATTTCCTAATATTTATTGCAATAAATAATATTTTTATAATGAAACGACGGACATATTGTACGCTTTCTCGATTTTGCCGCTTGCTGCTTGTTCGGTTCAACTTCAACGAACTGCGGCAAAATGTATTTGCGCCGGAAGTACGTCATCTAGCTTACATAAAATTCTTAACCAATAGTAACGAATTTAGAACATATAGTACTATATGTTCTAAGGTACGAATTGCTGCTGCAGCGTGCTGTGCATGAAAAAGTACCTTAATGCCAAACAACCAATAAGAATTACAGCCAGGCTACGTCATCATTGCGCGGCAGATCTAAATGATTATAAAAATGAAGTAAATTATGATAGATATTTTTGCATCCTTCGGTAACGAACTACGCATTCTTTCGGTAACTATTTTTGCATCCTTTCATTACACAAACACTCATTGTAGCCAAAATTTTAAACAATAACTGTTTTTGCGAAAAAACAGAATTTCCACAATGTGGCGTGTAGCCATATTTTAGTCAGCCAAAGCAGAGAGAAACCTGAGAGAGGACATAACGACCTAAAACCTGTAACCACAAAATACTGCCGCGCACTACTGTCCACTGCAAAAGTGGATGTGAACTACATGCCAGATCCACTATTCTGAGGATAACGCATATACTTTTCAAGACTGATGGTAAGTAGATATTCGCGGTTCGTATAATCGTATTCGCGCTACATAAAATGTGGATCAGAATAAATATTCCTCCCTGCAACTACATATATGTATGCTTACTTCCATGCGCGTGATGTTTATTATTAAGCTTAAAAGTATTAACATTAAAGATGTATATTACACATACATCTTTAATGTTAATACTTTTAAGCTTAATAATAAACATCACGCGCATGGAAGTAAGCATACATATATGTAGTTGCAGGGAGGAATATTTATTCTGATCCACATTTTATGTAGCGCGAATACGATTATACGAACCGCGAATATCTACTTACCATCAGTCTTGAAAAGTATATGCGTTATCCTCAGAATAGTGGATCTGGCATGTAGTTCACATCCACTTTTGCAGTGGGCAGTAGTGCGCGGCAGTATTTTGTGGTTACAGGTTTTATGTCGTTATGTCCTCTCTCAGGTTTCTCTCTGGCCAAAGTGATCCGAGTGTAACCGAGGTTGTACGAATATGACGTACTGGCTGCTGCGCAAAGGCTTTCGTGAACTCGCCTCGGCAGTATTTTGTGGTTACAGGTTTTAGGTCGTTATGTCCTCTCTCAGGTTTCTCTCTGGCCAAAGTGATCCGAGTGTAACCGAGATTGTACGAATATGACGTAACTGGCTGCTGCGCAAAGGCTTTCGTGAACTCGCTCAAATGGGCGCATTCAGCGGACTCAACAATTGAGTGAGCGCTCGCTATTATTGGTGTATTCTTCCAGATCTAAAATTATAATTGGATGATCTAAAAGAATACAATAATAGCGAGCGCTCACTCAACTGTCGAGTCCGCTGAACGCGACCATTGGTTGCTGCTTCCACTGCTAGACGGTTGCATGTGAATGGACCTTTAGGTTTCCTTTTAAATTTACCTTTAGTTGCTCAGGGTAGCCATCAGCGAGTTGGCAACATTGTACTATATGACATATGTTGAACCTGATTGAACGGAGCATTGTAGAGTACGAAGTTTCTTTGTCCATTAAATCAAATATATGCGAAATGATTCAAATAACCAGATTGGAAATCAACGTCAAACGACTTCTAACACGCTGCGAATTAATAGCAAAGGATGATCCGCACAATGACTGGAAGCTCGAAAAAGTGCGCGAGCTATTTCTAATTTCTATGTTCTGACATGTTTTCATTTATTCATTTAATATACTTTAAATAATAATGTTCTATTACAAGAACAACTTCATGCAATTACATAAAGTAAAAAATAACATTGGAATAATTGCAATATATAATTACAGTATTTATTATAACATTTATGTGAATTAACATATGTTTATATACAAAGGTTGATTAATTTTTGTAACTGATTTTTTAAAAATAATATAGGAATTTATTCATTATAATCTATAATAGCATATATATAAGATTTACACATACATAATATTTATGTTACACAATAAATATTTGTAAATTATACGAGTTTTGCTTGTGTAAATTCTTTATTTCAGTATATACTTTCTCTGGATGACATGATGAACAAACTGCAAACTTTACCTAAGTAAGTTTTATAGAATATAGTATGCATTATTTATTATTAATATTTTGTGTTATATATACAGTATGTATACATAATGTGACCAGATGTTCCAGATGATTTTGATAGGATAGTTTCGTTTCTGTGGAATGCTTATTCCTCTGTCCTATCAAACATGTTAAGTATTTTGAGTTTAGCAAAAAGTAATAGAAATATTCTGTTAAAAAATATTTTATAAATCTTGAGAAACTATAAAATATAATATGTATTGTTTCTAAGAAGTAGTACAGCAGTAGAATGAGTTTTTCTGCAATAAACAAAGTATAGACAACAAAGAAATTCAATTTTGAGTTTGTATTTTAAAATAAGCAATATTGATAACAAAAATTAATTTTTATTTTAGTTGTCGAGAATTTTATATATTTCTTAAGGATTTATCTTCTTTATAAAAGCAGATAATTTGATATAATAAATATAAATAATTGCATTATTTAAAAAAAAGTAGATTGCTGTTATTATAGTTTTGTTATTTTAATTTAATTTTAATTTTTATATTTTCTTTACATTACATTATATATTTTTTCTCTCCCTGCTAAATAAAGTTCTCACTTTAGAAAAAAATTTTTTTAATTTATTTAAAAGAAAGTATCTGGTCACATTAAACATACAAAATGTTCTAAACTTTACATATCCTCAAATTTTACAATAATTAATAGCAGACTCTTCTGTAAGTGTATTCCGTAACTTAACAATATCTGTTGCACAGGTATAATATATATTAAATAAACTGTTGGACAATAATAATGTAATAATAATAATATTGATATTAAGAGTTAAAGATTAAGCCTACATATTATTTTGAAATGAAAATGTTGAAATTGTAATAATTTTTTTTAAACAAGAAATCTTTAAAGTTGGTCATTGAAATTATCCAAAAAATTCATATATTTAGATTCATTATTTAATAAAGGTGTCCCTAAGCATCATTCATTCTTGATATTGATATAACAACCTTCTGCACAGATTATTTTTGCAACTGTTTGTTAATTTTAATGTGTTTATATATAAGTTATTAAGTAAGGATGTTATGTGTGTGTAAATATTTTGATAATAACAAAATAAGTCTCGAGTGTCATCAAAACAAAAAAGTGATACACATCGAACTGTCAAAGATATCACATGAAATGTAAATGATAAGTTTATTCGTACCGTATTATACTTACATAGAAATGAATTTCAATGATTGGATTGTTTACTTGTATTGCCTTTGTAAGAAGGTGAGTGACATTTGTTTTTTTTTGTGAGCAGTTAAGAATAAAGTAATTTTATTGGTCAATTTTTAATTTTTCTTATATAAAACTGTATGAAAGCCTCAAGATTTAAATTTTCATCTTGAAATAACTTTGGGAGTTTATTTTTAACTGCTTTTGTGCAAAGTCCAAGACAAGCTGCATATTTTGAAAATTATGTGTGTGTGCATGTGTGTGTAATTGTTATATTCACAATATTAAAAATGTTTATGCAGTATTAAAAGATTGAATTTATAGTAAACCATCCAAGGACATCATGATGGACTACATTAAACGGATAAATTTTCTAAAAGGAGTCATAAATGCAACGAAATTATCAAATCCAGTGGAGAGAGTGGTTGCTGCACAATTGTTATCGAAAAATTTAGTGTCCACTAACAATTCTGCCAGTACAAGTATCACAACACAAATACATCAAAAGACTGTCGCTAAATATAATCGGGAATTACGGGCGGAATTATTTCACAGTAACAAAGGTAAGTTATATATATACGATATCGGTCAGTTTTATAAAAATTATTATAAAAAGGAAGGCCTGATATACTAATATGTATCATATATCATAATTATGTATATGTATTATATATAAAAAATTAGTTTATAACTATGTTCTTTCTTTTTATAATTAAAATTTCACAAGGATGTATTCAGATTCCATTTGAGTACTTTTATAATTAAAATTAACAAGGATGTATTCAGATTCCATTTGAGTACTACTTAAGTGTCATTTTATCCTTGTTTAACATTCAGTGACTGGACAACAAGGATAAAAATGATATTTAGATAGCACTTGCCAGATGGAAATCTGAACATAGCTTAGCCTGAATAAAAAATCTATTGTGCATCACTGATGATCCATGAAGCATGGAACCTGTTAATTATGAAACTAAAATAGATTTTTATATATAATCTCGATATTAAATCTTGTTATGTGTCACAGACGCAAATAAGGATGGTGTACGACAGAGATTATCAAGCTCTAGTATCAAGGATGAAGATCTGGACGCTATTTTGAAGTATAATCGTAATATTCAGGAGAAGATCGCTGAGAATATGCTTTCTATGACCAGTACTATGAAGGAACATGCATTAGCGGCTAGTGCTATTATAAAAAAGGATATTGGCATGCTGGAAATGTCTGACAAATTGACTGATGTAAATGCTGTTAAATTAAAGAAGGAATCCTTGAAGTTAGAAGAACACACTAACTCAAAATGGAAGTGCTGGGTATGGCTTATGATAGCTTTCGTTCTGATTGTATTTTTTAGTGAGTATTTCATGTTAATTATACAAATATTTTTTAAGACAGTATGGTTGACATTTCTTATTTATTATTCGAATTTCTAAATTATGTTTTACTGTTGCCAGCAGCTTATAAAAATACCAGTAGAGCGAAATTATCATTTAAATTCAATATTTTTATGTATTTCAGACATGGTGTTATTTATGAAAGTGGCAAGGAAAAAGATTTAAGCAATTTCTATACTGAGATTAATCATGACTGAAATAGACGTGTCACTTAAAACCACTTGGAAATCTGTTAAATATATTACAAAATAGTGATACATTAATTTGCAACTCCATCTAGCTTCATAATATGTAATTTATTTTTTATGCATCATTTGATAACGATGACCAAGTATTTCTTGAAATATTCTTTGTTATATATATATATATATATATATATTGTATTGTCCATATGTTATATAGAACGTTTATTTATGCATAAATAATTTTTACAAGAAAAACAATATTGTATTCTATTTTAATAGTATACAGCGATATATATATATATTTATAATTAATCATATGATTTTCTTTTATCCCTTTGTCTTTTTACTGAACCATCTATTGAAATCTAATCTCAATAGCAATCGAGCCAAGTGTTCGCCACTAGGTTGTGCACGTACTCTATTCAATGTTTTTGTTAACCAAACCATTACGCTATCAAGTGTTTCGCATAATGTTTTGAGCTCTTCTTTTTCGGTTAAAAGCAAATTACCGACTTCCCACATGGATGCTTGTAAGATGAAATCGTCGCACAATCGTAACAAAAGATGTATCAGCTTATTCACCTGTTAAAAATATTCATGAATACCAAGAACAAAACAGAATTCATAATCAATTAAAGAATGTATAAAAATTTAATTTTATAAATAATTCTATGAAATTTACGGGATTTTTTTTTCCTGTTCCATTGCCTAGTAAAAAAGTTTGTGACATAACGTTGGCTAGAAACATCGAATGTGCCTTTTGTATATCTTCAAAATTTCGTGTATTCTTCATATGCGCTTCCATTATAGTATATTGACTTTCCATCACATCCACTTGCAAATAATATTGCAAGTTATCGACGATAAAAATTAAATTATTTCGTAATTGAATCACACCGATATCACTGCAAATATACATTCTGTTATAGTAATTATGAATAACAAAAATGTTAATTATGTTATAATAAATATAAATATATTTTTACATGTCTTTGTGATGCATGTGTTCACTCCAGAGATTCCACAATTCTATCTGAGTCTTTTTAACTCTCAACAGGAAGCGAAACAATGTATTGTAATCGTTTAACGCCACTGGATTAAACAACAAATGCAGTGGCCAAACAACTTTGTACTTCAATGTGATCATACCCCATCCACGTTTCTCTAAAATGAAAAAAAAATTGTTCATTTTGTCTTTGAATATTTTAGAAAAATCTTGCAACACAAATATGTACCATTAGGATCTTGTTTTTCATTATCAAAGAGATCAATGGCATCTGTGTTGGCGTCCTCATTCTCAGAAGGTAGTGCAGGCACCACGAAATTAAAGCTGTCGATAGCGCTTTCATCGTTTAGGTGTATCTTTCTCAGTGCCATTTGAAACGCAAGATTAATATCTCGGGATGTATGATTTGTTGGTGCTTTGTTCAGAATGTGCGTCGTAAGCTTGATTAATTCTAAGAAAAGATCACCGCGTCCCATTAAGTAGAACTCTTTTACGAGCCTGAGTTGTTGCATCAGCTGTGCCTCTTCAACGGCAACATGCCACAAAAGTTCGGTCACACACTGTTTCAATTCATTGATCGTGCGATCGAATTCGACGATATTGAAAACTGACTTTGCTTGGAGATTCTGAAGTTTCCTGAAGTACTTATACTCTTTATCGCCCCATATGCAATTTTCTGTTTTGGAGATTATGCTAAAATCTAAAGATATTTAGCTTTTTATAATTATTGCATATGGATGTATTATTTATTTATATGTGTTTTTTCTTGATTATTTCAAATATTCTTGATTATTTCAAGTTAAAAGAAACAACCTGTATAATAAGGTAGTTTCTGTTTTAGACAATTAAAAATTATAATCTTTTTACCTTTTTTCTGTCTGGGATCATTTCCGAACATTATGACGGTCTGACCAATGGTCAAGATTTTATTTGCCAACGATGGCTTGATGTAAGATGGAAGCATGTTCATCTGTACATTGTAATCCCACATATCAACATTAATCTCTTTGTCATTTATTGATTCACGTGCATCAATGTTGGTCTTCCTGTCTTCATCCATCAAAGTTTTCTCGTAATCTGATATTTTTTGTATAAAAAATTCCTTGTGAGGATCTTCTAGACGCCCATACAAGAGCCAGCTTGTTAAATGCTTATAAAAAACAATATGAACAGAATGGGCCATCCTAAAAAAGAGCATCATAAAGCAAAAATCATAAGGCAAAGAGTGTCCAATTTCATTATAAATCTTACAATTCTAGAGCGATGTTGATCTCGGGTATGCCAGTATGCATATGTTGATGTAAACATTGCAACAATTTACAACCGTGGAATTTCTGTGTACGAATCTGAAATAAAAAATCAGTTGATATCTTTCTGTGTCTGCAAATAAATTATAATATTTCATAGTAATAGTTGTTGGATTCGATATACATTTAATCACAAGAATACTTTAAACTTTAAATTATTATTTTGCACATAATTAATACATTTAGAATCATCTGCAATATAGATTTATTATTCATTGAGACAAGCAGAATAGTATAAAGTTATAACAAAAAAACAAGTTTATTTAAAATTTAGATATATAAATGTGTATCATATAACTCCCTAAAATTAAAAACACCCCGCACAAAAAAATATTCTGCATTTATGAAATAGCAGATATGACACAATTGGAATGAAGAAAATACATTGATCTAAAAAAAAAAATAATTATCAATCATATCAAAACCAACTAATTTAAAATATCTTTTTTACAAAAATAAATAATAACCTCACGAATGATAGAATGTAATACAGAAAATAGACCAGTATATTTTTCAATGTTGCAAAGAATTAACGACAGTGGAGTATAATTGTCATTTAAGACTGTAGTTTCCAACTCAATTATTTCTTTACGAAATGGTTCTAGTGCTTGATCCATTCCATCCAAAAGAGCTCGTATATAAAGACCAGGAGTTACATATTCTATAAAACACAAAACAGTTAAATTGAACATGAGATAATAATGTCAATTACATAAAATACATTTCATCAAATTTTTTATCAAACCTTTTGTATTCTTGCTGCTTGTGTATATAAAATTTCGTATGATGTTATACTTGTTTACAAAATCTAATATTTTATTAAGTAGCGCCTGTTCTCCAGGATGTAAATACTTGTCAAGATCTATGGACTAAAAGAGAGATTGAGAAGCATATACAGATAATATTTAAGATTCTTGTTCACTCAACTGTTGCTATTGCCAAAATTAAATATTTTTATATATTATTGGGAGTACAAATTAGTTCGGTCCGTATTCCAAAAGATGATCGCCTCCAAAGACGAGTCATTTTTTCGAGATGGATAATTCGAAAATTACCTGAGAGATGGGAAAAATTACTAGCCAGCGATGGACGATACTTTAATTAATCTGTTCATTCATTTTGTTTTGAAAAAAATGCATTTTTGAACACAAAAAATGGACCGAACTAATTTGTACACCTAATATTATATAATTTTTGATAGTTTGTCATATTGTCTATAAATATATAATTTATTTTGTTATATATATATATATATATATATGCATAATTCATTTTATTAGATATATGATTATCTATTAATAAAACAAAAAATTTTTTTTATTTTATTAATATTTATATTTTACAAATCGGTTTTATCAATTTTAAATTTTATTTTATTCTGTGCGTGCGTGCATGCTCTTGCGTACAATACGTTTTTATATTATATTTTGCAAAAATTTTTATTGCAGATTTTCGCGCCTCTTCTATCATCTGAGACAGTAGTGATGAGTGAACACATTCAACAGGAGCCTTAAATCTTATAATACTCCTCATTGATTAAGATACGTATACTTACATCTGTTTTTATTATCTGCGATACGTTAGTCGAACATCCCCAAAGTGACAATAAGATTTCGTGCAACATTTTTTTAAATATCAGATACCAAATAAATGACAAGAGCTATATCAATTCCTGTGCAATGTTTAAGGTAATTATTCAGTTTAACGACGTCAGTTCAAAAATCGATGGAACTATACTTATTTATATACTTTATATATACTTATTTAGAATTTAGCAGAAAAAAGCGTCGTTTTGTCTTACAAATTAAAATATTGATCGTATAGAAGTTTACTACTATTGAGGTTATGAAATATGTTGTATCTACAGAACCTCTAGGGCCATGTTCAGATTTTCACTCGATTGCTCCCCGGGTGTCATGTCACTCTTGTCTAATATTCAGTAAATAACAAGGATACAGTGATACTTTGTGGGTAGAGTTCTATATATAAAGAACAGCAACATTGGTCGCGTTCAGCAGACTTGACTATTGTGTGGAGCAGATCTGTGAGCGCTCGCTGCTATTGGCTGATCTAAAAGAATATACCAATAACAATGAGCGCTCATTATTTGGCAATCTAAAAATATGGAAATAAAAATTTGAGTACAAAAAAGCTTTTTGTTCATAAAGAAAATTAATAAAATTGGCTCTTACTATAATATGTATTTATTACAGTCTAGTAATTATATACATATATGAATAAAATATGCTTATTAATGTAAAAATAAAAAACAATTTTTGGAAGGAAATTAACCCGGATTACATTTAAGATCATTGAGAGCACAGACATAACTTACTTTTAGCAACAAAACAATTAAGAAAACTACGGATTAGTTGTTTTAAACTAAAACTATCTCGTATAGCAATTATATATATATATATATAAATTAGGATATGAACACGAGTTAAATTCGTAAGCGATTTGTAACGTACGTTTGAACATATAAACACAAATATATTCGTCAATATGATTAGTCAATTCTTATAGATTATGGTTTGTGTATAAATGATTTTTTTTATGCATTATGCAGCGTTATGTAAAAATGTACTGCGATCTTTACAGAATACGCAGAATACTATAATTATTGAGCATTTTCATCGTCCAAAATATCTGGAAAAAGAAAAAAAATACTCTTATTAATCAAACTACAATGGAGGAGCATAAACGTCTAGCTGACATCGTGAAAGAAACTCATGTTTTATTGCGCGCTGAGTACCACCAATATGGCGCCGAGATGGCATGGGAACGCCATTTGGCGCGAAATGACGTTCTACAGGTTTGCTTTAAATTTTCATTGCTTATAAAATTAAATTTTGACAGTTCAGAAGGAGAAATGCAAATCAGAGTATATTTATAATTATATAATTTAATTTATTTCAATATTATTTCAGAGATATGCTATATCTATGCAAAAATTGGCCACTAAATATTGGGTGAACAGTAACACAGATTTGCGAAATGGAACGTTCTGTAGAATGGAATGGATAAAAGCTCAATGCAAAGAATATTTTCACAACGGTGGTAGAGAGAAATATGATAAGAGAGAGCTAGATATAATTGTTAAAATGACTTCCTCTCCAGAAAATTCGCACGATGAAAGTACAACGTGCGAGAACCATTCAAGCCATACGGAAAATGGTTTACAAAATTTTTATGGACGGAAAATATCGCTTTTAGATGTAGGAAGTTGTTACAATCCTTTAAGTGTTGACAATGCGTTTGATGTAACTGCAATAGATTTAATTCCCACAATAAGAGTCTATCAATGCGATTTTTTGAACATTACGATCGGAAAGGAGAAAATTCTCTCACGAGATATGCAGAAGATTTGTCAATTGCCCATGAGTTTCTTTGATTCTGTAGTATTTTCTCTACTGCTGGAATATCTCCCATGTCCAAAACAGAGATACATCTGTTGTAGGAATGCATACGATGTGTTAAAGGATGGTGGCATACTGATTATCGTGAGTCCGGACTCGAAACACGTTGGTGCGAACGCGAGATTGATGAGATCTTGGAGGTATACGCTGAGCAAAATGGGATTCATGAGAATAAAATACGAGAAACTGCGTCACATTCACTGCTTGATGTTCAGAAAGTGCGTGTGCAAAGACGTAGCGATACGGTGGTCCAAATTGCATCATTTTGATGAGGCCGACAAGAAATATATGTCCGAGACAAAGATTTTTATTCCGCAGGATTTTCAGACTGTTCACTCCAAGAATCAAGAACAAGAGAAATTGGACGAATATGAGGAAACTGATTTAGCGAGCGCTTTTTCTGAATTACCGTTTAATAATGAAGCGTCAATATAATATATATTAATAGATACTTATATTATACTTATTTGTATTTTCTTGGCAATTTTATTTTCGTTAAATAAAACATATTTTTATAGGAAGCATTTTATTTGAGTAAAAAATATTATTTTTCAAATTAAATATGCAGCTGTTTAGAAAAAAAAAATTTACTTAAAAGTAAAAAATTATTTGTTATAGTGAAGAAAATGTTTTTTTAGCATAAAACAAAAAAATCATTTATTACTTTTAATAATTTATTATATTAATTATCTATTGTATCTTTGTGCTTTGAAGAAAATTTTATTTAAAAAAGGCTATGCACTCTTTTACTTGTTTTCTTTATAGCTAATACAGAGTAGCTATTTAATATTTTAAATACCTATACTTTTAATATTTTAGATAAGAATATAAGCCATTTATGGTCAAGCTGGATATTGAAGCTTCTATTATAATTTTCGTGTGAATTTATATACTACGTATGTAGATCCGTAAATACGCGCCGAAATTTTTTCAGGCTTTACAAACTAATGAATTACCGCAATACTATTACTAGTTAAATTAACAATGTTTTTTATGCTCATTGCTTCTTGGATTTTAATATTACGTTGAATATTATATTAAAGTCTATAAATAACATATTAAAAATCTGTAAATAATTTAATAATATATTGCGAAAAATATTACCTCGACCGAGAGTCGAAACCGGATCGCTTAATATTGCTTTACGCGCAAATGTCCTAGTCAATTAATATTTTAATATTTATCTGTATAATAAATAAGAGTAATAGCAAGACTGATGAACGCAGCAATGAATTATGTGTATTTTTGAGAAAACTAATCTAAACGAAACACTTACACGCACATACAGATAAGGCATGTAAACAGATAAGGAATTCACAAGCGTTGAAATGGCATATAATGTACAGTGTATAATATAAGAAAGAATGTCACAGAGGAAGGGAGTCTAACCTCGTTAATAAAGATATTTGATCTACGCAAGACATAAGAGATTCACACTTGCAGTTTAGCCCACAATTGTTATCAAAACCATTTACATAATGTACGTGATAGAAAAATTTATGATAAGAAAAAACAACCCAGGCTTTAGATTGAAATGGTTGACCTGCATCAGTGATAAATTATATCACAGTGAAAATGGTGTTTATGGATATAAGTGCAATCAACGAAAGCACTTTGAAGGTATTTGTCTCATTAAAAATAATGCTGAATCTAGTTTTCTTGTTACAGACGTATTTAAGTGAAATGTTTTTTATCCTGCTTATTCTCAATATTAAAGGTCTGTTTTCTGATGGCTAAGCTAATGTACACTTTTGGAGTATAATTAATATGAAATATTAATATTAATATAAAATATTAATATTTGACAGAAGAAGAGAAAGAGAGTTCTAAGTGACATTTAGTATAGGAATAAAAAAAACAGATCTTTATAGAAATAAGATTAAAGACCTCTTTCACCAACTTCGATTAACACTAATATACATAGATGGTTAACAAATTATCATGATTGCCAACGTGAGAACTAAACACAATTTATCTCGAAAGAGGAAGAGAGAGGCGGCGTTGTGATACATTTAAACTGTTATTAAGTACCTGTGTGAATTAATTGTCGATTAATTTAATCAGAAATTGGTGGAAGAGGCCCTTAGAATAATTTTAACATGTCTGCTATAATGTTCAATTAAACTAAAAAGTGAATTTTATCGAAAACATCGCGAAATTAAATGATTACAGATTGTATTTGCAAAATATAGGGATCTAGCAAACTATTCGAGATTTAACAAATATTTTTTCGTACACGCTACAAAAACTATTTACCACAAACGCAAAATACTTGTTAAATTTCTGGTGAAAAAAAAATCGCTGAAATTGTTAAAATCGACAATGAAATCATTCAAATAAGAAATAAAAATCACTGAAATATTTTTGAAAATATTTCAGCATAAATAATATTTTTAATAGTAAAATATTATGAATTTTAAAGATATAGTTATTAAAAATTAATAAAAAGTATTGAAAAATAATAAAAACTAATACAAATATAACTAATACGAATACGAAGCCTGTAACAGTTTAGCTTGGATCTTAGTTACTTATATATAATTTCGCGTGAATTTATATATTAATATATGTATGATAGATTTTTTCTAAATAATACAAATGATACTAATACAAATATATTTAATATTTATATTAATTTATTTAGCGAAATATTAAATATTGAATTATATTCGAAATATCATAAATCATAAAGATAATTATTGTAAATTTTAATGATATCGATTTTTGTAGCATTGAAAATGATCCGATCGAAGTCAAAATATGTAAATTTGTTTGCTATGACAAATTGATAATTAAATTTTGTAATCCTTTTACAATTACAGCAAATCTTTTCCCTATGTTTAATACATACAATATTAATAAAGCACGCACTTTTTTCACGTGATAAAAAGGTTTGCAATTTTATGTGATTTTATTTATGTTTAAAATTCATCACGTGTGAGTAATTTATACTACTTATGTTTTTCAGTGCCAAAAGAATATTTGGATGAGCGTACGAGACAAAGCAATTTTTACAGATTAGTCAATGCATATAGAACTCATGGACATAAACAAGCAGATATAAATCCCATTTCTACTAGCAAACCACAGTTATTATCTGAACTGCAACCAAAAAATTTTGGACTAAATTTATTGGATAAAGTTCGTTTTCGCGGAATTTTATTTAACCGACAAGATGAAGGAACAATAGAAGAAGCTATTCAATTTTTACATGCTACTTACAGCGGTGCTGTTGGAATTGAATTTAGTTATCTCGAGGTAATTTGCAAATTTAGTATACCTATTTTAACTCATCAGTATATCTTTACAGTTACATACAAAAATCTAAGAATTTATTTAAAAATTAATTTGTTTAAAAATTACGAATACATTGAAACAATATAAATCGTGGTGTCTACTGAAGAATATTTATTATCTGTATTTATTATCTGCCGTAGTATCTATATAGGAAAAAATTACTTAACGATAAATTGTAACTAAAATCCTAATAATAAGAGGATTTTTATTTTGAGTAGACAGAAGAAGAGAGGGAATGGTTTGCCGAAACTGTAGAAAGAGTTTTAGCTGAACCATTAAATAATGAAACACGTAAAACGATAGCCACGGAAATGCTCAAAAGTCAAGCTTTCGATAACTTTCTAGCAAAAAAGTTTGTCAGTTTAAAAAGGTACGGAGGAGAAGGAGCCGAGAGCATGATGGCCTTCTTTCATGAGCTTTTTAAACTATGTGCCTTAGGTAATTAACAAATATTTAATTAAATTAAAAATCTTTTTCTTCTAGATTTTTTTTAAAATATGATACTATTAATAAGTGTATATAAAATATATAATATAATCGGTGTCGAGAAACGTTTGTTGTTTATAATTTAAATATATCTTCTTTGTTTCTCTTCTTAATTGTAATATTTTTATTTCGGCTCGTTGCCTATTAAATCATTTAATGTTTATTTATTATTGTAAAGCCTTCTTCTACTGTCTTTATTATATAATAATATATAATAATATAATAGGTAAATATATAATATATTATAATATAATATTATAGTACAATATCATTCATTGCGTGAAAATTTATTTAATTGCAATGTTATAATTCTAGATAATTTGGAACACGCAGTTATTTGTGCTGCACACCGCGGTCGCCTTAATTTATTAACGGGACTACTAAATTTTCCACCAGAAATATTATTTTGTAAATTACAAGGACTTTCTGAATTTTCGGATGCGACCAGTTGTACTGGAGATGTAATTAGCCACCTTATAAGTTCTACTGATCTTAATGTAGATAAAAAGAATCTCCATGTAACCATGCTTCGAAATCCATCGCATTTAGAAATAGTAAACCCTGTGTCGATGGGAAAAACACGAGGAATTATGCAGACAATTAAAGAAGCCGCGTATAGTGATAATGAAGATGCAACATGGAGTGATAAAGTAATAAATATTCAGGTAAGTTATAGATACTACATATTAATAACTAATAGAAAAAGTTTATCATTAACATATGGCTTTAACAACCTATTAATGATTGACTTTTTAACAAAACTGTCCTTAATAACTTACAATTACCTGACTTCTGTTCAGACATAAATTGCCGGATTTATATCAGAAACAAATACAGCTTTGACTTAAAGTTAAAAGTAGTGTTTTTATTATAAGGAAAGAAAAGAAAAGATCAATAAACGAATATAGTTTCGCGGAACGTTTACAACTGCGGTATCGCGGCTAAAATCTCCACACCGAAAGCAACAGGGGCTAAAAATGCCCTCTGGCGTGATAGCAATGTGCTGTCATATTATACTCGCGTTAAAAAAATTATTAACAAATAAAATTGATAATATATTTCAGCAATATTTCACCTTTACTTGGTCCAAAGTACATTGCTTGCCTGCCTATGAATATAGGTATAATTTTCTATGCGAAATGAAGTCCATCCCCCTCCCCCACACTACTTAGTGGCGTTACTTTACACACAAAGTAACTACATTACATTATCTCTCTGATTAGAAAGTCAGATGCTTTTAGACAAGAGAAGAGGTGATGTGGATGTCACTTTGCATTAAAAATCGTATGTCTTTAAGCAAAAGGGAAGGTGGAGTGGATCTCGCTTTGCGTGGAAAGTCGTGCGCCGTTAAATAGGAGGGAAGATGATGAGGAGGAGATAATCCTCTTTATGTCTGATAAATAATTCTATATCGATATCTAATGTAAATAAATGATAAAATTTAAATTTAAATTTTCCAATGGGGTCTTTCTCAATCTTTTGATATAAGCATTTAATATTGGATGACATTGTTTCCATTTTTAAGATGTAACTATTTAAACAAAAAGAGCTACAAGCCCTTACATTAATTTTAAATTATTTGAGCTTGTTTATTTATTGTTAATTGTTTCATATTTATTTAATACAAGTTTAAATTCTTTAAACTCTTTGAC